CTAAATTCAGGGGCCACCTGCAACCAATTTCGAGGCCAACAGGGTTTTACCCCCAACAGCCTTATACCTCCGGGAACATCAACGGGCTTCTCTTGAATACGAACCTGGGATCTGCAACTCAAACCCTTCACGATCGCAACAGTTTTAATGTTAGGCTATCTTACCTTTAGTAAAAAAGGGAAATTAAGAATAACCCAAAACAATTAAACTCACCTACGCAGACAAAAATGGAAATAAAGAATAACCTAAAGTAATTATAACTAGAATAGGTAATTAATTATTATATTCAATTTACCTAATATAAAAAATAAATATATTAATTTTTTTTTGTGATTTGCCTATAATGTGTTTAATTAAGGAAAGTTTTTGGTTGTTAATTAAGGAAATGGAATTAGATTTGGGTTTTCGGTTGTTTTAATTAAGGAATTTTTTCCCCGGTTTTTAATTAGAGAAATGGAATTAGATGTGAGTTATATGTTTAACATAATATTTTTATTTAACCATTAATAATCAAACAGCTAATAATTTGTAATCTATTTTTTTACAAAAAAAAAATTCACTTTCGCCGTCCGACGCCGGGTTTCGGAGCGACTGCCGCCGTACGAAGCCGTCGTTCGGAGAGACCCCCACCGTACGAAGTCGGTTTTCGGCCAGACTCCCGCCGTACGAAGCAGGCGTTCGTACCCAGCCCCGCCGTCCGATGCCCGCTTTCGGACCCAACGCCATCGTCCGAATTTTGCTTTCGGACCCTCCCCTGTGGTACGAATCCAACGTTCGTACCCTCGCCTCCGACGACGACGACCAACACGGCGGGACAGGCTAGCAGCAGCTGCTGCCTTTCTTCTCTATTTCCGGCGAGCACCAGAGAGCGACGCGGCCTTCAGGAGCAACAGGGTATGGGAGGGGCGGACTAGCTTCGCGTTTCTTCTCTCCGGTGACGATCTCTGCTTCCGGCGAGCTCCACTTCTGACGAGCAGGAGCAGCTTCAGTTGCGGAGGAGGCAGAGAGCGGCGGGGAGCGGGTTTTGGGAGGATTAGGGTAGGGTTTTGTTAGGATTAGGGTTTTAAACCATAACGGTAAACTTGTCTATTTTTGTAAATAGGTGGGCGGCATATAGTAAAAAGACGGGCGGCAAATAGCTATTCAGTTAGAAACCTTAGAGAAAGGGCTACAAATAGACCCCTCTAAGCCATCGTTTAAAGACACAGAGAGCTACTCTACCGACACAACAACTCACCATAACCACAGAAGCGATCAGCATGCTCGGTAGGCAAAATAATGGTGGGCGTAATTTCTTCGGTTAAGCCACCATTTCACCGAAGCTAGCCTCTCTCAACTAACAATCACCATGGTTACTAAGGGTAAATTGGGTATGAAAAATAAATTGCATTAATTAATTTTTTTAATAAATTACATTTTATGTAGTTACTAAAATCTATTAATTACAGTTCTCTCTCTTTCTCTCACTTCCATAATTTCCAGCGAGATCTCATTTCCTTATTTTTCTCAATCTTTTTGCAAAAGAAAAAAAAAACATGAAATCACTATCAATCTATTAGACAACCACTACCATTTTGAAAACATCAATACCATTGCAAAAATAAATAGTACTATTGCACGAAAACTACCAATATAAATCTCTACCATTTCACAAAAAACCAATTACATTGCAGATTTAATCAATACCACTACATGCAAATTAATACCATTACATGATAATCAATACCAATGAGACAAAAGTATACCAATGCAACAAAATCAATACCAATGCGACAAAAACAATACCATTGAGGCGAGAGGGTCGGAACACAAATCGCTTGTCCATCAGCTCCTCCCGCTGCCGGGTAGAGAGAGAGAGAGAGCGTCCTTGGTTTCTCTTCCCAGTGGAAAGCCACGTCACCGTAGTCGCTATGCTCCATGTCCCGGGGCTGGTCGGCGCGCCGAGGGTGAGGTCGCCAAACCGCCGCAGGGAAGCCGACACGCTGAGGAAAGGCAATGACCTGGTGATGAAGGTATGGCCACCTCCATTCTCGACTTTATACTTGTGAACAGTTTCTCGATTGTAGTGTGGAAACTAGGAAGAAGGAGAGAAAGAGGTTTACGGGTTTGGGGGAATGGAATGATTGCAAAATATTGCGAACTCTGCAATATGGGAAATGGGAGGATCTGCGGAGGAATAAATATGGACGGAGAAGGAGGGAGGCCGCTGCAGTGGGCCGGGGCTGCTGCCCGCGGTGCAATGGGAGTGGTACGTGGAGGCGGCTGCGTCGGATTTGGCTGGAGGGAGGATAGAACTAGGGTTTGGGTAGATTATATAGAATAATCAGGTGTGGTCACTTTTTATTTCCAAAATTACCCTAAAAAAATCTTTACCGTAAAATTAAAAAAGAAGGAAAAATAATTAATCAAATGATATATAAAGAGGTTGCCACCGTGATTATTAAGAAACAAGTAATCACCCTAACCCATTCCCTAGCCTCTCGGTTGGTTATTTTTAGAGTGACGAGGCCCATAATTGGCGTCATTTCTTATGTTAGGCCCACCATTTAATGCAAATGTTAGGGGTACTGGATCCCGGCATAGTGTTGTGGCAGGTAGGCAGCGGTTGGGTCCCTTCCCTTCCCTTGTGACCATGGTTGTCACGCCGGCCGGCGTGCCACTGGTTGAACCTGGTTCAACCTATACCGGTCATAAAATCGGTATAACACCACTGGTATGACCGGCATGATCGATATACGAATCTCTAATTAAATGATCTTATATTAGTGAATTTATTTGATAAAAAGTAATTTATTATTTATTTTATGTGTTAAAAAGTTATATGTCGACGTTAAATGTCGTGCTTAAAAATGAGTATTTGTAAATTATTTGTAATATTAATCGGCATGAACCGGCACAAACCGGTATGTACCACAGGTCGAACCATTCCACTTGCTAAACCGGCACACTGGGTTTGACAACCTTGCTTGTGACATTGCCATTTATTTTCTTTGTGGGTTCCGTTTTCTTTTCCGGGCTTTCTCCTCTGTGCTTGGTTCTAGCATTGACTTTGACCATCATTTTGACTTGCACTATTGTTGGTCCAGGGCATGAATTTCACGGCACATTGGTAGGAAGTTAGTCGCCGGCTTCTCTTTTTCCCACTCTCCATTGCCACCGGCCGGCTGCCTTAGAATTTTGCTTTTTGACTGTTTTCAAGTTTGAGTATCTGTTCATACGAGTCTTCCTTATTATAATAGAGTCTTTTCTTAAAGAGATTCGGTAATAATGTTGTTAGAGGATATGGACGTTAGCAATTAGCATGGCGGAAATTGTCAAGTAACTTCCACGCCTCTTCTTTCCAGTATACAATAAATCAAGCCCTCGCGCAAGCTGGCTACTCCATCATTTGCCCAGGAAAGATCAAACAACACTATTGTGTTGTTCAAGAAAATCATCTTCACAGTAGGTACTAGGGGTGTCGGTACTGTTAACCAAACCGAAACCATTAAGAAAATCAAAAATAAAATTAGTATGTTTCTCTAAAATCGAAACTCAATGGCTTACCGTTACCAATTTTCGGCTAACAAAAAAACGAATAAACTCTTAATGTGATTGGTTTCGATTAGAAAAAAACCGAAAACTGAAACCTTTGCACCCCCAAAATCGAAAACGGGACCCCTTCACCTTTCAACTAATGTTTTTGGTTTCAGTTTTTTTTATCGATTTTTTGGTTTAAGATGCAAACCGGTTTGGGATAAAAACCCGAAATCGATATCCCAGCCCTAGTAGGTACAAGCCTCTATGGTAATTCTCAGGAGCCCATTGCACTATTTCAATGTCTCTTTTAAGTAAAACGTACGTAGTAGATATACAACTTAACATTTCTCAATAATTTGAGTAATTGGGCCTAGGTGATTTTGAAATGATATCATAACAGTTGAATCCTTAGTTCTGATTTGTTTACTTTTCAATTAATTCCCGTCGAGATTTCGCTTCTCTCTCGGTTCGTCTTTGTTGTCCTAATTTTGACGACGTCAGATATCCTCTTATTCGACTATTTCCCTTATCACATGTCACCTAATCCAAGTTAACGAAAATTGGATGAAGACTATTATAATAAATAAATAAATAAGTTGGATGGATGGATAGTTAACCATTGATTGTTTTTTTACTTTTCAATAAATTTGTCAAATTTTTTGTTACAAAAATGTATTATTAACCCCAAGAAACAAAACATTTAGCAGGGTAGCATTAATTGCATATCTTCACTGGAAAGTTTGGAAACTGTGGCCCTCCATGAATTGAATTCGAATAAAGATGCGACAGGTTTTATGAACTATCAATTACTTAATAATTATTATAACCCACAAATTTGAAAAGGCAGATGACCAAAAAAATATGATAAACGCGAGCTTCAATCCAAGAAGAAGTTTGTTGGGAAGTACCTTCCCATTTAACAAAAAGATTCGTTCATGTTACCAACCAGTTAAGATAAGTATACTGTTTTGTACCAACTATCAATTTTTTTACAAGTATGAACTATAACATTTGTCAAGGGAACAAAAGAAAAGAGAAAGAAGATTAATCTGCAATTATTTTAATTTGGAAATAGTTTAAGTAAATCTTTGACTTAATGTGATAGGGTATGCGGTCCGATTATTTTCAACGCGTCATCATAATCACAATTAACCATTCATACACCACAAATTCATCACATAATATAAAACTGAATCAACTAACAAACGTATAGTAGATGTTTGCTAATATTCGGACGTCCAAAATCAAATAACCTACCGACACATTCTCATTAGTCGACCCTAAACCTAAATCCAAACAGCATAGATGTAAATCATGCTTTTCATGAAATTATTTGTAAAAAAAAAAAATTCATGTCATCGACTCGACGACCCACCTCAATCATGGCGCTAAGTCAACTAGTATTTTTCATTGACTAGATTTCTACCCGTTTCCATTAAAGCCTCCCAACACCCTATAAATACACCACCATTTCGCCGCTTCTAAACATCGCAAACATCGATAATTAGCACCAAACTACCAACTGCTTTCACTTCCCCACCAACTAACCACCATGTCCCCCCGCGTCGTCGACGAGGTCTCCGGCTGGCTCCGCCGCTACGACGACGGCTCCGTCGACAGGGCCTGGACCGGCCCGCCCGAGGTCAAGTTCATGTCCGACCCGGTCCCTCCCCACAAACACTTCGTCGACGGTGTCTCCACTCATGACGTCACCATCGACCCGTCCTCCGGCCTCCGGGTCCGGGTCTACCTCCCGGAGCCCCGCTCCGGCGAACAAGACAGGAAGCTCCCGGTGTTCCTCCACCTCCACGGCGGCGGGTTCTGCATCAGTCAACCTGACTGGTTCATGTACTACAACACGTACACCAACCTCGTCCGATCGGCCGGAGCCGTCGTCGTCTCCCCTTACCTCCGCCTGGCCCCGGAGCATCCGCTCCCCGCTGCCTGCGACGACGCCTTCTCCGCCCTCCTCTGGCTCGATTCGCTCGCCGCGAACCAAAACGACGCCGGATCATTTTCGTGGCTCAGCTCCCGCGCGGATTATCAGCGAGTTTTCCTCATCGGGGACAGCTCGGGAGGCAACTTAGTCCACCAGGTGTGTTGAAGAGCAGGAGAAATTGTTTCCTTTTGACAATCTAATCGAATTGGTTCGTTTGAGAGCATAAATTGGGATGAATCAATTGACTCAATTGTCTCTTTTTAAAGGTGGCGTTGAGGTCCGGGTCGGCGGCAACGGCGCTGGGGCAGGTGAAGGTGGCCGGAGCGATTCCGATCCACCCGGGGTTCCTGCGGTCGAAGAGGAGCCGGTCGGAGATGGAGCAGCCGGAGTCGCCGCTCCTGACACTGGAGATGGTGGACAAATTCTTGGGAATGGCGCTGCCGGTCGGGGCCACGAAGGACCATCCGATCACGTGCCCGATGGGGCCCGATGCTCAGCCGCTGGACGGGACGAAGCTGCCGCCGTACCTGCTGGTGGTGGCGGAGAAGGACCTGGTGAAGGACACGGAGATGGAGTTCTACGAGGCGATGAAGGCTGCAGGGAAAGATGTGGAGCTTTTGATCAATGCTGGGATGGGACACAGCTTTTACCTGAACAAGATTGCTCTGGATCTGGATCCGCCTACTGGGATCGAATTCGCAAAGATGATCGAAGGGATCGTTAAGTTCGTCGATAATCACTGATCGAAAGACGTCGGAAGGTTGATGTAATTCCAGATAAACCATAGCGATGAACCCAACTCCTCCCTGGTACAAACAAAGATGAATGTTTGCTATTTTGCAGGAAAGATTTTCTCTTTTGCTCATTACAATCAATAAATCAGCTGATCTTCTGATACCCACATTTCTTTGGAACAGAACCTTTTAATACACAATAAGATTACACAATCGATCACCCCCGACTCTCCAACATGCTTTACCAGAGTATTTGATTTTGATCACACAGTAAGACCAAAAAGGAAGAGAAAACTATAACAGATCGAGTTGTGTCAATTTCATTAGAAGAATTTCAGTTTCCCCATAGTCACAGAGGTCTTGGCATGCTCTAAATGGCACAACGCCTTTTCTTTCCCGGACATCCCAGAACACGATCCTGCTGCTGCAGCAGCGGAGGCACCTAATGTAATGGCGAAGTAGAGGTAGATGGTGCATAGAAACGCCAATAGAGTCAGAGCTGTTAGCAGGAATCGGTGTCTGTTCAGGAGTGTTGAACAGTTGCCAAGCTCTTCCTTGGGGAAACCTTTCCGAATCGATGATGATATCCGATGAGGGGAAGATAGGCTGTCAAGTACCATAATGTTTATCCTGCAAGGTCCTGAAATAATTGCGGAGTCAATCTGGATTAGTCCGTGGCATTGTAAGAACACAATTTTCTATTATGTAACCAAGCATTCAAATCAAAATGGATGTTTGAAGATAACTTCTGCAGGAACTAGAATGAATCTAGTGTAGTAAATGACCAAAAGAGACTAGTCCCAAAGTTTACAAGGAACGATAGCAATGACCAACGTTGATACTCATAGACAGCAGCCCACTACTTGCCACACTCCAAAAGAAGGCAATTATAGCGGGAGCAGATGTTGACACGACTTGGTCTTGAAACACTCCAGGAAAGTTTTTGAGTCAAAACCAATGATAAGAGACTGCAGAAACGTCCTAACTTACAGAGGTGAGATCACGGCGATGGAAGCCGATTAGGACTTAACTGTGAGGAAGGTTGAGATAAGAATAAATGGCATCTTATATTTTGGAACAAAAGCCGAAACACCATGCCATTTTCCCAAGTACAACGAACTAGAGAACCTAATCGAAGAGGTGATAGTCTAACGACTAATGAATCAACAGCATGCATCCTGAATGGATTAGGGTCTATTTCTTGGAATATCGACCAAGGTAAACATCACAATTTGTTCATGATGCACCCGAAGATGCAGTAAGGAAGGGCAAGATACAAGCAAGTAAAAGAGATGGAAGCAAGTCAGCTGCTTCTGTAAGGCATAGCAGATCCTGGCAAACTAAGACCAATCCAAAGCTAACTAAGCATGGTAAAACAGAATCTGATTGATCGACAAACAAAGATCTCGGACCCTACAAGGATGTTCAACATTCTCCATCTCAATAAATGATCCTCCAAGACGAAGTCCAAGCCTTACTACAGCAATAACGCTGGCCAGAACCCCTCCCTCCTTGCTGCAATAGGCCCAATTACTAATTTCACAATTGTTCAATGATACCCCCAACAATCTAACATTTCAGTCCAAATGCTAAGGTTTATATTTTCGTTCATACACGTCGCAGATCACTCTAATTCGGTAGATTGAACGCCAAGGTTCTAACTTTTTCCTTTATCCCCCCTTGTACCTCCTCCACGTTTCAGCTAGAACTTTCCCCCGGAATTCCAGATCCGTGTCTACCTCATCAAGACAAAGGATTGCTTCAACACAGAATCGAAAGATAACCCATTTACAGATCTTTCTGTGCCAATCTTGTCCATTAAAAACCGATTGAAAAGAACGCAAACAGGACAAATAAGCATCCAAAAATCAGATCTAAGGGAAGAAAACAGGTGACTTACAGTTTTCTGGCGGGATGGATAGAGAAAAAAAGGGAGAGCGAGAGATCGGAGGAGCTCTGCAATTTCGGCCGGCGCGCAGGCTTGGAGGGTCGATCTTCTTCTCTTCTCCCTCGTTTCTCTTCTTTTCCCTCTTTTAGATTTGTTTTGGATTGCTTGATGTCCCCTTCTTCCCGTGGCTGTCGGGGGATTGAAAGATAGATACGTTCTATTATCGAGTCCCAACTCCAAAGTGGTGCGACTCCAAAATCCAAATCCAGGAATCCATATACGGTGTACCGTTACCTCTTAAAATCAATTAATTCTATTTTAATGAGGAAGAAAAAAGTGGAGGAGGAAAAAGAATGCAAATTGGGAAATCGCTGGCCGGAATTGCGCGTCGCGGCATTGGGAATGGTACAGATTAATTGATGACATTGACCTTCCGACAGCGTTAAAAGCCACCGTCACTACTCCAAAAGCTCCTTTTCTTGCCTTGCTGGCTTTTCCTCACCTGCCGCCATGTTCTTTTGTTTTTATTTCTCAGCCCACACTCCCTTCTCACTTAAGCCCATCTCAAGAAGCCCAAATTTCAACAAACACACAGGCCCGGCCCACTTAACAGAACGACTTCGTATAACATAAAATTCGAGAATCAATGGCAATTATGGCGTCAGCGACGCTGTCTAACGAAGGAGTCACTCTTGTCAAAAAAAAAAAAAAAAAAAAAAAAACGAAGGAGTCAAACCGTAGAGGACAAAACCTCGCACACGGAGCTCCTTCCTCCTCCTAGTAGCGTCTTTGCTTTTGACGAAGGGGAAAACGGAAAACCAAACCTGAAACAAAAGTTCGCCTTTTCTCGATCTGTCGGACTCGCTTCATTCGCACGAAATCCTCAGAGCAGGTAGGTAGGTACGCAAGAGATTCCGAGCTTCAATTGCTGTTTCAGGGTTCCGTTGAATGGTGATGGTTGGTGGTTACTATTAATGGGGATGATGATAAGAATTGTCTTTTTTCTTGTTTTAGGGCTTGGAGAGTCTAATTGGGAGATCATCGACGGCTGGTCAAGAAGATGTGGGCTGCTTCCTGTCTCGCGTCGTGCTGTGCGGCCTGCGCTTGCGATGCTTGCCGCACCGTCGTCTCCGGGATAAGCCGGAGGTCTGCAAGAATCGCCTACTGCGGCCTCTTCGGTCTCTCTCTCATCGTCTCCTGGATTCTCCGCGAGGTTGCGGCGCCCATGATGGAGAAAATTCCATGTGAGCTTCCCAGTTGAATTTTACTGTCTTGCGTGTCGTGTGATATGATGAGTGATTCATTCATGGTGAAATTATGAGAGGACTGTTTGGTTGGCTTCGGAGCTGAGCTTTTAGGTTCAATACAGTTGGGAGTTGCTTTTAACACTTGTGGAAGGGTTGTGAACGCAGGGATCAATCATTTTCATAAGACGCCTGATAGGGAGTGGTTTGAAACCGATGCTGTCCTGCGTGTTAGTTTGGGAAACTTCGTGTTCTTTACCATTCTGGCTATTATGATGGCGGGTGTTAAGAGTCAGAAAGATCCTCGTGATAGTTTGCACCATGGTGGATGGATGATGAAGATCATCTCTTGGTTCCTATTGGTGATCTTTATGTTCTTTGTGCCAAACGAGATCATCAGCTTCTATGGTAAATGGCTTTCAATTACTGAGGTTTCTTGCTTTGCCAGTCCTGTTTGTGTTATGGATGATCAGCACCACAACTAGATTATTATATGTTCTCTTATAGTTTCTAATGTCCTTTCTCTTCGCTTATAGCTTGACATTTTTCCTGATCTGACTGCTTGTTGCAGAATCAATATCCAAGTTTGGTTCTGGATTGTTCCTTCTTGTTCAAGTTGTGCTTTTGTTGGATTTTGTTCACGGATGGAATGAGAAATGGGTTGGATATGATGAACAGTTTTGGTAAGTATAACTTTGTTTGTCCCGTGGTGATAACCTTGATTTTTCCATCTCGAAATCTTGCTCATGTTTAATTTTCCCTTTTGTCATTGCAGGTACATAGCGCTGCTCATTGTGTCACTTGTTTGTTATGTAGCAACATTCGTTTTCTCAGGGTTTCTCTTCCACTGGTTCACACCTTCTGGGCAGGACTGTGGATTCAACACCTTCTTAATCGTTATGGCCCTGATTCTTGTGTTTGTTTTTGCACTTGTTGCACTTCATCCTGCTGTAAGTTCCTATCTAACATTCTTCCCCATGAATCACAAGTAGGATGATCTGCAATGTAACCGTGGAGGAAGCTAGAACTGACTCTACTGCTTGGTGGAACAGGTGAATGGAAGTATTTTGCCGGCTTCAGTGATATCTCTGTACTGCATGTATCTCTGCTATAGTGGACTTTCAAGTGAGCCAAGAGACTACGCATGCAATGGTCTTCACCATTCAAAGGCTGTGTCAACTGGCACTCTTACTCTTGGTCTCCTCACAACTGTTCTGTCAGTTGTATACTCTGCTGTCCGAGCTGGTTCTTCTACCACCCTACTTTCTCCCCCTAGCTCTCCCCGTGCAGGTAATATATTGAGTAGTTACATGCATAATTAATGATCTCAGAATATTGAATGCGTCTAGATCTGATACTTATTTTCTGCTGCAGGTAAGCCACTGCTGCCCATGGACAGCAAGGACGATGAGCATGAAGAGAAAGAGCATGCTAAGCCTGTCTCATACTCGTACTCTTTCTTCCACATTATTTTCTCCCTGGCTAGCATGTATTCGGCAATGCTTTTGACTGGTTGGTCGACCTCAGTCGGGGAGAGTGGAAGGTTGGTCGATGTCGGGTGGCCATCTGTGTGGGTCCGCGTCCTTACAGGATGGGCTACTGCTGGTCTCTTCATCTGGTCGCTGGTTGCTCCAATTTTGTTCCCAGAAAGGGAATTCTGAATCTGAGGCTGCTTCACTCGGTGGTCTGGGTGCTATGGTGTTTTCTACATGACCGTTGTATCTGTGTGTATATAATATGACTGAGGATTTCTAAATGTCCGAAATGAAGGCACAGAGTCTTGCCAACTACTGTTTGTTGTGATGTAATCGACCGACTATGGCTCTCTCTAAACTACCCAAACTGCTGAAATTGCTTTGAGCTTTTATGTGCTTCTTGTATCTGTGTTTCGATCGACATTTGCATCTCGCCTTTATCTCTGTTGAAGTGCATGTTTTCTGTGTTTGGAAAATGAGTGTCGAAGTCACCATTAGCTCAATCAATGTAATGGATGCGGTATTGGATTAGCAACAATGGTAGCATAAGAGGGAACAAAATTGTGAATAGCCTATGCATACAGGAAGTGTGAAAACACGAGTAAGTACTTGAGACTTCCTCCCATTGTTGGTCAATCTAAGAAGGTGGTGTTTGCTTACGTTAAAAGAGCGGATTCAGAACAAAATTCAGGGTTGGAAACTTGAAAGGGTAAGTTGATGAACCAACGGTTAATTAACAGTTCTATAATGCTTAACTTTTCAACCATCAACTATCAATTTTTTCGATTGAGGATCCAGTTCGGTTATGAAAATGTTGGATAAAATACATACTATCTTATATTCAAGTATATACCGATTCCGATAAAGTACATCTATAATATCAAATAACACTTGAAATTCAATCCTAATCAAAATCTCATAAAATAATGGTTGTATTTGTTTTATAGGGAAATTCAATACTTAATATCAAAATACCAGTACTAAACTTCCAACTCTCCTTCTTTTTGTCACCAATCAACGGTTGGGATTAGGGCTGGAAGTTTGGTACTGGTATTTGGGATATACCGAATATCATACCAAATTTGTCTATTTTTGGTATTATCGAATACACATATTATTTCTTGGGATTGGGATTGAATTTCAATTTTTATTCGGCATTAGGGATTACGGGATTGGGATCGGTATATACCGAAATACCGATCAATAAAAAAATATAAGCTAGTGTGTATTTTTTATCCTCCCAACTAGACTCTCTCATTCACTACTACACGATCCTCAACCATCAAGAGTGCCATTTAATTATACATAGATAATTCCATCACTATTTCACAACTTAGAAGTCCTCATCAACTCAAATTTGACTTTTCAATTAAAATCACTTTCGTCTCTCACCTAATCTCTTGTTATTTTCATAGCACCAAAAAATAATAAAAGTATTATTGTCTCTCAACCTCCAATTCGCCAAATTAAAGATTACCAATGACAAGAACTTTAGATGTCACCTCTCCTCCATTCTTCTTATCCATATCATAGCTTTAAGAAAACTCATTACTCAAGACTCTTTGCTTAGTCTCTTTGCCCTAAATTAAAGAATAAAATTTAATTTATATATTTTATTATTAATTACAAAGGTAATTAATTCCGTATTCAAAAATACCGATTGGGATACCGAAATACCGATTGAGATACGGAAATATTTAAGAATTGGGATTGGGATACGAAAATTATTTTGGGATTGAGATTAAAATTGATTTTAGGATGTAATTTGGTATTCGGGATTTCGATATTATCACAACGTTTGAGAAGAGAAGTATGAAATGAAACAAGGCCCAACACGCAGTAAAAGAATATAATAGGCCCAGGATAAGGCCCAACCGAGAGTGAGCGACAGAACGTAGAAAGAAAGTCCCATCTCTCTGTTTCTCTCCCCTTCCCGCTGCTTGCTGGCTTGGCCTTGCAGCTACTCTCTCTTTCCTACTTTCTCCTTTTCCCTTTTTTTCCTCAGTCCCTCGTTTCAAGCTTCCATTCCTAGGGTTCCCAGCCCAGCACCACCACCACCGTCGTCCCTTTTGCTCTTCCTCCTCCCCTCCCAGTTCCCTAATCCATTCCTCCACCATGAAGCTCACTGTTAAAACCCTAAAAGGCAGCCATTTTGAGATTAGGGTTCAGCCCACCGACACGGTCAGTCACTCTTTCCTCTCTCCCCCACCTGCCCCCTTCCCATATCTCGCTGTGTCTTCTAACTTATGGTTTTGCGGCCCTGCGATGCCGATTGAGATTGGATTCGAGCTGTGAATTTACAGTTCTTTTTCTGTTAAGCTGTGATGGAATTCCTACGGCTTCCAGAAGGAGAGCAGTTTGTTGGAATTTTGGTTAATAGCAAGGATGGAATTTGCTTTATTGATGATTTTGTGTTCTCTTCGTTCTGATGGATAGGTAATGGGGGTGAAGAAGAACATTGAGGATGTACAGGGGAAAGACAATTACCCTTGTGCGCAGCAGTTGTTGATCCACAATGGTAAAGTGTTAAAAGATGAGACTACACTAGCTGAGAACAATGTCTCAGAAGATGGGTTTCTGGTTGTTATGCTTAGCAAGGTATTGTTGCAACTTGCTCTCACAGACAGTTCAAGTAACTATTGGGTTCATTCATCCTTATGGTATTGTAATTGTCTTTCCGATTGTAACTGGAGTCTGCAATTTGTTCTGACTCTGAGGCATTGGTTCGGTTGTGCATGATGACTTTGTTGATGCAAGCATATGTAGAACAATTGTGTTATGAACATCTTTGAAGGAAAGTTTAACTGAAAGATATGCCATGGAAGTTCAGTTATTCTGTAAACAAATTATATATTTAAGAATGTTATCGTGATTGTGGCTGAAATTTTGTCGTGGGGGGGTTTTGCAGATTGATCAGTTCTATTTTCTTTGATCTTTTTTTTTTTCATTTTGCTTCTTATAGACTAAAAGTTCTGGCTCAACTTCAGCATTGTCCAGTCAGGTATTTTTCTCGGTTCTTCTTTTTCTTCCTTCTCCTGTTCTTCCTCTATCTTCTTGCTCTTCAAATAATTCTTCCTTTTATGCGTGAAAAAAGCCTGCATCTACAACAACCCCACCTACATCTTCACAAACCTCAAATCCAACTCCAGCACCTGAAGCCCAAACAGTGTGAGTATCCCATTGTTTAAAGTTTTGTTTTTGCCGTCAGCTGTATTTTCCTTTGCATCTCTAATATATTATTTGCAGGGCCCCAAGAAGTGCGGCTTCTGCTTCCGATTCAGCAACAGACAAGTAAGATCTATATCTTTGACCTCTCCGTTTCTTCTAGTGCATGACATAACTTGTAATCTAGATTCTCTTGGTTTATGAATCATGACTAGATCTACTTATGTTGTTAATAATTGAACTCCTTTCTTTAGGCAAATATCAGGCCCAACTTTTTGGGGTATGCTTAACCAATTTGACTAGATCCATGTGTCTGCAACTATGAACGAGAAATTTTTCTTTCGTAGTATGAACTTGACATTGTATTGATATAGATGGTTGGTTCGTTGCATGAGTTCACCCAGTTACGTTTCCATGCTTTTTTCTATTTAAATTATTGTATCGGATGATTTTCTTTAGACTATTATCTATGTGCAAAGTTATTCTCGTATATTGTCTCAATACCTCGGGTTCGTTTGAATTGCAAACTACCGTTCTGCTCCTGGTCTCCACTGCTGTTAGGCATTGTTTTTAACATTTGGCCTCTGGTCGAGTAACCCATATTTATCTCTGTTGTTTACGGAGCCCTTGTTCAACTGCTGAACGCCTGAACCACAAAGCAGGCGTTCAGATATGGAAATTATCATTAGTCTTTTTTTTTTTTTAACTCTTGGGAGAATACAATACCTTGCCTGTATGATACGAATGGCTAGAGTCTGTACATTTTCTGTGTGATTTCAGTCAATGAAATAAGCTAATTTTGTTCAAAAGGTTCATGATTATGTCCTGTCCTCTTAGAATTTAGATAAGTCTTTATTTTGGATGAATTCGATTTGTCACCTTATAAAGGGAAGACAACTACTTTATTGAAAATCTTCTCCCTGCGTGACTACTTCACTTCAACTTTTAAGTTTTGGCTTGTTCTGCTTAAATTTGCAATGTAACTCAAGTACTCAACACAGCCAATTTATCTTTGTTGCAGTCCACCAGCTGACACATATAGTCAAGCTGCATCAACCTTAGTTGCGGGTACCAACTTAGACCAAACGATCCAGCAAATAATGGATATAGGTGGAGGCACTTGGGACAAAGAAACCGTTACTCGGGCACTCAGGGCTGCCTATAACAATCCAGAAAGGGCAGTAGATTACTTGTACTCTGTGAGTATTTATTTAACATGTTGGGGGCGCCACACTTGATCTTGGATTAGCCACTGATGCTGACCAACCTTCCTTGTTAGGGTATCCCTGAGACGGCCGAAGTAGCTGTCCCTGTGGCTCGTGTGCCTGGTGGGCAGGCTACGGAAGCAGGGGCAGCCACTGGAGCTCCTGTAACCGGAGCACCTAACTCTGCCCCCTTGAACATGTTTCCGCAGGTAGATCCTTATCGTTCTGACAGTTTTGATTGTTCGCTGATGTTTGCTTCATATTATATACTAAATGCACTTCCTCCAGGAGCCACTTCCTGGTGCTGGAGCTGGTGGTGGTCTTGCATCCCTGGACTTCCTTAGAAACAATCAACAGGTATGCTTTAATGTGATAATTCCTTTTCGGGTTGGATAATGCAATAATCACTTATTTTCCATGAAATGAGTAAGAAATGTATTAGATCTCAAGCCATTTTTGTAAAGTTTGGAAGTGATCTGGTGCATTGCACTTATACATTTTACGAAAGCCTTGAAGCACCCATAGACCATAACACCACAGTCAATGAATTAGTAAAGGTGCTCAAATGTTGTGCTTCATCAGGATGGGAGATGATGAAACAAGTTTCTCTGGACTTTTCGCATTTGTTGAACATCATCAATGTTACATGTTTGTTTAATCCATTCTATACCAGTCTGTAAGAACTTCTGCATGCTGGTTTCTTCAGAAGACAATTAGCTAATTTTCTGTTTTCTCTTGCATTTTAGTTCCAAGCATTGCGGTCGATGGTTCAGTCAAATCCCCAAATCTTACAGGTATGTGCTTTTTTCTTCGCCATTGACATCTTCTTGTATGATGATGGATCACTTGCCTAAAAAATTTCATCATTGCATCTCTTCTGTTGTTGCAGCCCATGCTTCAGGAGCTTGGGAAGCAGAACCCAAATCTCCTAAGAATGATCCAAGAGCACCATGCAGAATTTCTACAACTAATAAATGAACCTCAGGATGGTTCAGAAGAGTAAGTAATACAATTGCCACCTAAAAGTTTGTGAAAGAAGTTAAGTCACTAGAAGAAATGACCGCCATTTTAACAAATGTGCTATTGAAATGACCATATGGTTTCAGGGAGATGTTTGACCAGCCTGAACAAGAGATGCCTCATGCCATCAACGTTACACCTGCCGAGCAGGCTGCCATTGAACGGGTATGCGTAATTTCTCTTCCATTGGTCACCTTTTTCGCTTTATCTCTCTTCCATTGGTTCACTGTTTGCTAATTACTGTTGAATTTCGAATGTGGCAGCTGGAGGCGATGGGATTTGATAGGCCCCTTGTGATTGAAGCCTTTTTGGCCTGTGATCGAAACGAGGAACTAGCAGCTAATTACCTTTTGGAACACGCTGGAGATTTTGAAGATTGACGACTCGAGATTTTGAAGATTGACGACTCGATCGATTCCTGGGAATTTGTAGGAATGAGATTGTGGGGTTCATAGTATTTTTATTTCATAATCCTACAAGGTTGATCAATCAGTGTCCTCTTTTCTATCACAATCTTGGATTTGGTTGGTTGTAGTAGTGATTTGGTCGAACTTTTAAACAACTGTCAAATATAACTCCCCTGCTATCAATTTTGAGAATGGTGTTCATGGTCGATTAAACTTGTTTCCTATACATGCTAAACCGCCAGTGGATCTCCAGTCAACCATAACCTTCTCTTTTAGAATATAGCCACTGCATGTTCCTCGCCATCGGTCTTTCTCTGCGGGCATCTCTGTCTACCGGACGTGCTGCCTTTGTCGAACTTATTTAAAGATGACGACGAGCTCTTGTTGCAGTACTTCTGCACCATCTTCTTGCCCACTGTATACGAAAACCTCGTTGTATCGAAGAATGCCACCGCGCCAAACAACAGAAACCAAGCCACGAGCACAATATGGGAAATGTCATTGAAGTTATCCACCACATTGTCCAGTGTAACGTTATACAGCCCGGTCATATAAGCACCGCCCATGAACGTCAGCGCCAAGAACATAGTCTGCGTCAACAACCACACAGAACTGGTGCCGAAGAGGGATCCCTCCCAAGATCAGCAGGATAACTGCAGCGGAAGCAGCAAACGCGATCGTGTTGTAACGCACGAAGTCGTTGTACTCTTTCGGGTAAGTGTAGGCTAAAACTGCCAACCCTGCCTCGCAATGCTTGTGAACCGACATTTTACTGCAGTAGTCTGGCTCTTTGGCGTCCTGTTGCCAGACGCCGCCTGGCGGGTTGATGCCCGATTGGTACGTTACCGTGGCTATCACAGTAGCTACGATCATCAGCCCGTCACGCTGTTCGTTGACCCACAGGTGGTGGTACTCGAGGCAGTTCAAGAGCACGTAGAGCCATGACATTAGAGTCTTTTTCCTTCCTGTTGCTGCTGCTGCTTTAACTGACGGCGACCATTTGTTCTTGTTGGATTGTGATTCGATTGTCCGCGGTGGTGATGGTGTTTTGTCGATGTTTTTCGTAGTTCTCGTTGTTGTTGCACCTGATTGGATTAGGATGTCGCGAACTTCAGGGGTTTTGAAGTGCTTGGGACTCAGCTCTAGGATGTCAAGTGGTGTGAGGCCACATTTGTTGGATATGTTGAGGTTCAGAGTAGGCAGAGAGATCAAGTACTTTATTGTCTGCAAGCACAAATTCGAAACAATCATCATGTTACAATCCAATTACCAACAATATTCACCATGGATTTGATACCATTAGCTAGTTGATCATGACATTGTGCACACAATTGATGAAATTGCGCGAAAAATACGCCGAATTCAAGTATGTAAACATACTTGCCTCTAGTCGCTTGAACATGACAGCAAGATGCAGGACAGTATTCCCATCATTGTTCCGCAAGTTAATCAAATCAGCATCACCATCATTACTTAAAACCTCCACCAAAACCTTCAATGCTTTCAAATGGTTGTACTGTAGGCACAAATGGAGGGACGAATCCCCGCCAACATCCAGCTCCATGATCACCACAGACTTTACAGAACTCACCAGCTCACGGATAGCCTCCACGTGGCCTCCGACGGCGGCCAGGTGAAGAGGAATCCTGCCGTCATCATCTCGTACAAGGCAAGCCTCCTTATCGGCAATCAGCAGAGCTTTTACGATCTCGGCGTGGCCCTCGGCGGCTGCAAAGTGGAGGGGAGACCTCTTGGAGGAGTCTAGCTTGGAGGCCAAGTTAGGGTTGCGGGCTAGAAGGGCGGTGGTGAAGGCGAGGTGGCCCGATAAGGCCGACACGTGGAGAGGCGTTTCGGAGGAGTAAGGAGGGGTTGAGGAGGTTCTGTGGAGGAGGAGAGGGTCTTTGGAGAGTAAGGTGGTTAAGGTTTCCACACGGCCTTGCATGGCTGCTTCGTAGAGAAGGTGTGTTGCCTCCATGGCTGGTTTGGTTTCTTGGGATGGAAGGAATTGAGGGTGTGAGATTTTATAGGGTTTGGATTTGGGGTTATCAGTTGGGAGAGGAATCAATGGTTGGAGTGGGAGAACAGGTTTGGTGGCGCTGATTAATGTTCTATGCTTGCTGGGTGGTCGAAAGCTTTTTATAGGGAGCTTTGTTTTTGTTTAATGAAAAGGGAAGAGCATTTTGTTGAAATTAAGGTAGATTGTAATGCAAGTTACAATGACTATGAGCTTTGCACTCTGTCTAAAAGGTCCTCCAATCAATTATTTAGATTTGAAATTTAAATCCTCTGAAACTTTTGAATCCGAAAATGGTGTATTAAGAATGGGTGAGAATTTATTGTTTGGAAAAACATAAATGAATATGTGGATTATTATAAATTAAATGATATATGGATACTATTTCTCACTAAAAAGGAATACATTGCCATTTTGGTGAGGTTGTTAATTTGTTTCATTTGCCACTCAACTATTTTTATTCTATTTGTGGTCACTGAAATTAGTTGAATAGTCCAAGTTTGGTTATTGGTCGTTACCTTGCGTCAGACTTTACATGGCTAACAGAAACAGCTAGTCCGTAGTTACCCAATTTAACCCGAAAAAATTAAAGGTTGACCCGCTACATTAGATATCCCAACACAACACGTGACCCGACCACCACTTGACCCGCCCGACCTAAAAAATATCTATCCATTCCCAATCTCCCAGGACCTCTTCCAATCTAAATATCATGTTGTTGGCTGACCCCAAATGGTACCGAATCTCAGCTCTTCCGACCCAGTTCTAACTACACTTCTAATCGAATGCCAAGTGGAACTTTCAAATGGGGTAGTATAGAGCAAGTATTTTTTGAATTATCAAACCCGGTCGGTCTATGTCCTTACTTAAGCAAACTACAAATTATCTAGCAGTAGAAACGTAGTTTTCAATTAATGAACTAAACAAACAAGCAAATAAAACAAGGCTAAATTCAAGGGAGAAAGCTTCACTCGGATGATTGCTCATGTTGAGTCGATGATGTGATAATCTGGTGTGATTTTCATATTATATATACCGTTAGAGATCAAGCTAGTAAGGAGTGCTTATTTGAGTTGGCCTAACCCGCATAATTGCTCTAACTAGAGAGGCGTATCAAACTACCGGATTAGCAATTAGGGAAACCAACTCCAGTTCCTCAGGCGATGACCCGGAACGACGTAGAGAAACCAATCACCCTCGTTCATGGCCCCCTTACGATGATTGAATAGTGACCCAAATCACCCTAAGGAGATCTTCTCTTACTTAGGTTAATTTGCCCAAAATTGAGGGAATTAATCAAGGACCTGTTATAGTGCTATGTGACCAAATTCATATCCACAACAGACTAGAAATGGAAGAGTGAAAATCAGACTTTATTCAATTACTAATTTTCAAGGAATGACGAGTAAACAAACACATACAACTGATAATCTGAGTTGTTGAGTCTAAAAAAAGCCACAATCTAAAAGACGAAAGCAGATAAAGAAGGTAGAAACAGAAGCCACACCCAGATAGCTAGAGTTCCTGGCCACAGCCCCAACTCAGCTATCCAGACACAAGCACCGAACCCAAACCTAAGACTTCTAGAGAACAGACATGTTCTAACCAAGTCTAGGAAACCGTCACCTTTCTTCTGACAGGAGCAGTCTTTATATAGGCAGAGAGGCTTCCTTCCTTGTCTCTTCCATCATCAATGAACTCGACTGTTGATCCTTGAAGAGAAGAGCAGCAACGCGATTCCCAGCCAACCCTCTTCATTGAGTTATTTGATTTTTCCGATGGAGAATGGAGGCGATGACACGCTTTAGGGATCTTGACTCGTTTTGGTTGACTTTCAGTGCATCTGGTGGGCTCTACGTTTCTCAGTGGGCTTCTTTGACTCGTGGATCTCAGAGAGGCAAGGCCCAACAGGACCTTCAATTATCATACAAAATACTCAAATAAATATATAATCAAGCATGCCAATCACAATATAGAGTTCATAATCATCAAACTATAACATCCTGGACAAGAGTCCGCATCATCCAAGTGAATGAAAAATCTTCTTCATGGCTAGAGAAAGAACTACAACTAAACATTAGAAAAAAACCATTGAAAAGATGAATCTCCTTCTTCTTAGTTGCGTGATATGGTTTTGAATATGCAATCAGGCCTCCTTTGATCTTGGGTACGTCAGATTTCCCTTCAATCTTCCTTGGTTCAACGCTTTCTCTCTAGAATGCATACGAATATCCAAATCTCTCTCTAAAACTCTTCTTCCCTTTGAAATCCTGTCACTCTTCATATTTATACCCGCAGTGCAATCTTCACGGTCAGGCGTCATGCCGTGATGTTTGTAGTGAAACTGTGACACCAACACAAAAATTCACTGTTTCATTTACACAATTCATGATTTCCTTGTAAACCTCATGCCCTGTGCCTGTGATATGTGCAATGTCGGGGGACGTCCAAATGCTCCTGGGAAGTTGCATTCTTCACGGTTTCCTTGTAATCTTCAAGATCTCCTGTACGTGATAATCTACCCTGAACCGTGATCCATGCAATTTTTAGCAGTTTCTCTCGTTTTTTTTTTTTACCTTATGTCTTACTTTCGATCATTTTGCCCATTTCACTTTCTAGATCCTAACATAACAAAACCTAAATGTAAAATGGATCCAAGGATGATGCTATACAAGTCAAGGGGGTAAAGCATGTATATAATGGCTTAAATCATCTTCCTTCTCCATCCTCTTCTTCTCCTTAAAGAGCGGTGAGAGGTCGAACCCTTCCAATAACGAGATTAAGTGGAACGCGTTTAGCGTCTCCAACAACTGCTTCGATTTCTCTACGCCCCCGCCACCACCGGAGGCTTTGGATTCGTCTTTACCTACTTCTCTTTCTGCTTTCTCCTTGAATCTCCGATTGCACATCAAAATAGGGCGACTTCACAATATCTTCTTCCCAATTCCTTGTCGTCGTAGAACTCCGCACAATTGGGTTCTAGCTAACGGAATTTGTTCACAATTATCCCATATTAGGGTCGACGAGTTTGGTGATGAGGCGTCGGGGCTAGGAGGAAAACTAAAGGGAGCAACAGTTGGTTATTTCCTAGGGTTTGATCATGATCTCCTCCTCTCTTTGACCTGGAGTTTGATTAAATGAGCAAATTGATTTTGTGGGTAGAGATCGATCGATGGTGAAGAAAAAAGTCGAAGAACCGGATCTCATGAGGCTGAATAGAAATGCAGAGGATGAGTTATCGGTTCACTGGTTGGGTGAGGGTATATGATAGAGCATATTTTTATGACGTGGCAGGTCGGGTTTAATTTTTCCTGGTTAAAAGTGGATGACTAGGCATTTCTATTAGCCATGTCAGCAAAAAACTAATACCCTTAACACGAACTCACGAAAGGTAACGAGCAATGACCAAACTTGGACTAATGCACTAATTTGAGTAACCACAAATAGAATAAAATTTTTGAAGGGACAAATGTGAAACAAATTTGTATTCTCGGTAACTAAATTTGCAATTTACAGTACACCCACTAAAAAGATACATCATTTATATGTATTAGAAATACATCATGTATTTTCAACACATACATTCTGTGTTTAAATCAAGTAAAAAAAATATGGAATAGGTTCCGATACAAAGTTCTTCCTTTTTGTAGTACAACAAAACCTGATCTAATGATTGTAATTTTGGAAGGGGAGATCTAATGATCCATATCATAGAGGAGCAAGAAGGGACACAAGAGATTTAGGAGAGAGCTTACCAAACTTTACAGGCAGCAGAAAGGATTTTTGGGATAGCTTGCGGATTTCCAGGTGTATTGTCAAACACTTTTCAAATTTTCTCTGAACTGACCATAACTCATTCATTTTAAATCATATGTCAAAAAATTTGGTAGAAATATCAGATTTTTGTGTTATACGAGATTATATAAGTTTTGATATATTTTTTTTTACTAAATTTTTTTCAAGTAATCATATCAATGTCATATCACGATATTACCAGTAGCAATGGTATGATGTTGATATTGATTGAGATATGATATTGGTGTGATAGTGATATAAATATAATGTTGATTTCACAATTCACATCTTTTTTTTGTCATTGATTTAGGTAAATCTGGACGATCAAAATGAAAATTTGTCGGATTGTATACGAATTTTTGTATCTATAGGCTGTAAAAATATCAATATTTTGTAGGGTACATATATTTTTTAAAATGCAACGGTAAAAACTTAAAATCAAAAGGTTCAAACCAGACCTAAGGTCGAGGAAACTTCTCAAAGTATTAGGTCTAAGTGGAAAAGAAAAACAGAAGGGAGCAGGAAAAGTAGAAAAATAGAGAGATAGAGAGAGAGAGAGAGAAAGAGAGAGAGAGAGAGAGAGAGAGAGAGAGAGAGAGAGAGAGAGAGAGAGAGAGTTGGCGGGTATTTTGGGAGCATCTTTTAACAAAAACCTATAAATACCCGATAACTACAAAATTTATTTCTCCACAAACCCCAAATTGGAAAAAAAGAAGAAAGAAAACAGAGAGAGAGAGAATTCAGGGCGATCCCTTCGCACAGCCGTGTGTCACTGGGCGCCTCCGTCTGTGGCCAATCTCACGAGAAACCAGAGACCAGGCAAAGGCAAAATAGCGACTCCCTGCCTCTCTTCTCCCTCTCTTGCCTTCCTCCACAATTTCGCTTTTCTGCCTTTTCCCTCCTGTCCACCTCTTTCTTTCATGTGAATCAACCCCTTTCCTTTGCTTTCCTTTCTTCTCTCCCGTCCAAGTTAGCTGAACCCACTTGCTCTGTTCCCCCAATTCCAGCGCAAATCCTGGAAAAGTTTTGAACTTTGGGAGGAAAAGAGAACACGCTTCAGCTAGACACCCCCTTTTTCTTTTTTCTTCCTCGGGGTTGTGGAATGGAGAAGAAGAAGTATCCAATTAAGCCGGAGCATTATGAATTGTTCGAGGAGATCGGACAGGGTGTGAGTGCCACCGTTCATAGGGCTCGATGTGTCCCTTACGATGAAATCGTCGCCATCAAGATTCTCGATTTCGAGCGGGACAACGTTGATTTGGTGGGTCCTTGTCTTGTTCCCTTGTATCGTCTCCCTGTTTATGATTACGTTCGAGTAACAGCTTCCTTCTTCCGATTCTGCTATTGTTCTGCCTATCCTTTGAACAGCTTATTTCCAGACCCAGTTGTAGGATTCAGTTCCCAATTTCATTTGAGTAATTTGTTATGCATTCATCGTGCGAGTACAGTAGGCAAGACATCTTGTAAAGGGAAAATCACAACCACTTTTTGGGATCCAACCGTTTGGGGAAGGAAATGCAGGTTTCGTGACCCACATGAGTTGTCTGTGGGGTTCATATGCTTTTAGTGATTTGTAGCTACAAGTTGTTTTCATATTGTGTCCAATGTATGGAATTTTGTTGGAAAGATGTGAACTTTTTATATGGTTGTAACAAATATGTGACATTGATGGTTTGTTCTGTGTTTTGTTCTTTTCTGCCTCCTTATGTGGGTTTGTATTTTTCAATAGGTGAATATTTCCAGGGAGGTACAGACAATGATACTAGTGGACCACAATAATGTCCTGAAATCACATTGCTCCTTTGTGAGCGACCATAATCTATGGGTGGTGATGCCATACATGGCAGGAGGTTCCTGTCTTCATATATTGAAGGCAGCTTTCCCTGATGGTTTCGAGGAAGTAGTCATAGCCACCATACTGCGGGAGGTGTTGAAGGGTTTGGAGTATCTTCATCATCATGGTCACATTCATCGAGATGTTAAAGTCAGTTACTTGCATCTTTCCTCTTTACTGCTTGTGGCTGACTATTCTGGTTCGTCTTTGGTATCCTTCTAGATACCTCACAGGGTTTGAAATGATCGTTTTAGGTGAATACCAATTAACAATGCGTCAATCTGTAGGTCAAAGTTTCTGAACAATACCACGGCCTGTAGGGATACCATTGCTACCATGCCTTGAAATTTTCCGTTTTGATCCCGTACATTCTGTTTAGCTTGTATTAGCATGTTCTTATGGACACCAACTTCAAAATTGAAGAGGTTGCCCCTCATGTGTAGAATTTATGTTTTGGACGTGTGCACTAGCAGCTCACATACTCTGCTTCAAATGAATTAAGTAGCTAAAGCTCTGTTGCTTCCCTTGTTTGATGAAGTCGGTTATCTGATGGTGCTTTTCATAGGCTGGCAACGTTCTCATTGATGGACGTGGTGCGGTAAAACTAGGAGACTTTGGTGTTTCTGCTTCCCTTTTCGACTCAGGTGATAGACAACGTATGAGGAATACATTTGTTGGAACTCCATGCTGGTATGTTCCAAAATTTGCACTTGTTTTTCTAGATAGCAACACCTTTTCTGTGGAATTGATACTTTACACTAGATGACTAAGTCATTGCCAATACTTTGTGCATGGGATGCAGACTAAGTGGCTTCTTAGTTCTTCCTACCTCTTATAGGACCATCTATTAAATATTTGGTTAGTTAAATGTTGCAGAGTCCAATTTTGTTGTATGTTTTTTTGTTAATGTACAGTAGTGCAACTAAAATTGATTCCACATAGTCTTCTTCTGAATGCTACAATTAATTAATGTAATATTGTCATATTTCAGGATGGCACCTGAAGTCATGGAACAATTACATGGATATGACTTCAAGTTAGTGTTATAATCCATTTTAAAGTTAGAGTCTCTCCATGGATAACCATGTGCATAAATGAAAATTTCTTTGGCAATTTCCCTACAGGGCTGATATTTGGTCTTTTGGGATTACTGGTCTAGAACTTGCCCATGGGCATGCTCCTTTCTCCAAATATCCTCCAATGAAGGTTAATTCTTAACCGTGCTTATTTTGTTCTATGTTTGAAAGGATCAAGAGATTGTCTGGTCTAAAATGCAACTCTTTCTTATGATAAGGTGTTGCTCATGACTCTCCAAAACGCGCCCCCAGGTCTTGACTATGAAAGAGATAAGAAATTCTCTAAAGTACGTTACTTGTATTAAGTTACTTGAGGAATCCTTTCAACTTTATCGATGTTCCGTCATGGGCCTACATTTTCGTTTGTTTACATTTATTTTCTTTCCAGTCCTTCAAGCAGATGATTGCTAGTTGCTTAGTGAAAGATCCCTCGAAACGGCCTTCTGCAAAGAAATTGTTAAAACATTCATTTTTCAAGCAAGCCAGGTCTAGTGACTATCTATCACGGACACTTTTAGAGGGATTGCCTAATCTTGGTGATCGTATTAAGGCATTGAAGGTTAGTGACAACTGTTGATTAGAACTATTTAGGTAATTAAAAAAACTTACGTTCTGATCATACTGACAAATATTTCAACCTTTGAGATATAGAGGAAGGAAGAGGATATGCTTGCACAAAAGAAAATGCCTGATGGGCAGATGGAGGAAATATCACAGGTTAATATTTTTCTGTCCACACTGGAAAAATAATTGTACAATTTCATTGTAAATTTTTCTTCGAGGTTGGATGTTATCTTAATGGAAATCGTTAGTTTGTTGATGCAACTTATCTTTACTTGTCATTTTGAGTGGTTACAGAATGAATACAAACGAGGAATTAGTGGTTGGAACTTCAACCTTGAAGACGTGAAAGCTCAGGCTTCTCTGGTATGGTGATGGATACTTTGTGTCTAGGCAGTTAAGTCCCCAGTTTTCCATCTAGGTTTCTTCAATCTCCTTATGATGTAATACTTTCTACTGTCAGATCCCAGACGATGATATAGTTGCTGATAATTGTCAAAGTGGTAGCTCAAGTTCTCTGTCAGCACTTGATGGGCATGATAAACAATATGAATCGCAGGCCTCATCTGTCAAGCCAGCTATCGAATTGGTACTAGTCACAATATTGTGTTTCAATTGCCTTGTAAATAGGATAGATCTCTTTGATGTTGTTCCTAACTCCTCCGATTTGACAGGATGAAAATGATATGGTGCGAAATCGACCTGTTCCTCTTCAAACAGTAAAATCGTTTGTTAACTTTACAAAGTATATCACCAACTACGTTCTTTTAGTTTATTAAAGTTCCCTCAACATGCATATACTTAACCGTTGGTGTGAAATGTTCCTGATGCATGTTATAATATCATTTCCAGAATCAGTGGTGAGAAGTCTGATGATGAGTACAACCTTCCAAGTCCATCTGGCTCAGTTTCACAGCTCTGTTCGCCTCGTTTTGTTGACAACAATGCTCCTGAAAGACCCACTTTTGAAATAAATACAAAAATTCCTGAGAGCATGCCTATTTATTCTCAAAGCAAATTGATAGGGCCTGGTAGCCTCAGCTTCAATTTTTGTGATCCTGTTGGTCCGCAAAGCAAAGGGGACAGGTTCGAAGTCCAAATCTTGAACTGAAATTTTGTTGAAAATTCGGAACTTTATATGCACGTAGGTTGTTAGCAGTGAGTGATTTCTCTACTGATGTCCATTCATTTTACTTTCATTATGTGCCCGAAAGTGATAAATTGGTCACGCAACTCCCAAGAAATCCATCATACAACGGCTCAACAGTGGCGTTCGATGGTGAAGCCAAATTACCTGGTAGTTTTCAAGTTCTCTTAATTGCTTGATTTTACATGTTATATTTTTATGCGATGATTTGTCATCCTCTAATAATCTCCTCTTCAGGCACGTGGAAAATTTTCTTATCTACTCTTCTTACCACTTCATGGTGCAGGCAGTAGTGAGGAAACAGATGACAAAACAAAGCCACCTGTTGTTCAACAAAGAGGACGTTTCAAAGTCACCTCAGAGAATGTAGATATAGAAAAGGTGGGTTCTTGGGTTTCATCTTGTATCCTCTGTCACTTCAATCTAAATGATGTGCAACTCTTCTTTGTTGCAGGTACCACCATCCCCATTGTTGCAGAAAAGCCACAGCATGCAGGTTCGTTATTTTACAAATAAAGCATTTGCATAAAAGAACTTCGTTTCAGCACTGGAATTCTCTCTCGTGGATGCAATAACTTCTTAGCTTGTGAAATTTGTAGAATGAAACGAAGGGTTTATAAAGTAGTCTTCCACGCTCCTCCATCCCTCCTCATTCCTTAGCAACTTTGGTGTCGCTATCTTTCAGTTTCTTTCCGAAGTTTGACATTTACCAGTTCGAGATGCTATCTTTAGATGGTGTGTTGACTGATTAAGAAATGATCAATCGAGAAAACGGTTAAATGTCATCAGCTCCGAACATATTTGAGCATAAGCTGCTTCCTCTTCGCTACCCCTTTCGTGTTTTGATGACTATTTCTGGCATGAACATAATATTATTCACTTAGCTCAAACATTTTTTCCCCTGCAACATCTCTGACTGCATCTTTGTTCTATTTGTATGTTAGATTCATTTCACAGCCTTGTTCTTTCTATGATTTGAAATTTCGGATTTATCTAGAGGAGCCTTTGTGTGATTCTAAGGTTGCTCCATTGTGACCTACAGGTAAGGGGTTCAACAGATGAAACTAGCCTATCTGTGAAAACAAGGGTAAGGTTGTGTACACCTATCTTCCCGTAACCTTGCAAATGTGAGAGCCTCGTATACCCAGTTTTCACCACTTTGTGGATTAGATTATGTATAAGACATACAACAAGGCTCATCTTTCCCATCAACTCACTCAAAACATCATCTCATCCTCAAGGTGTTTAAAGGATTGACTACAACCAGTTAAAAGTCTCAAGTGAACCAAAATCTACTTTGGTCCCTTTTTTCCTAGCGAAAGGGCATGGGAGTCGGAGGAGGTGGATAGAATTATGAAGAATAAAAGAGTTCAATCTAGTTGTGAGAGAAAGGATAAATGTGAGAAGTCTAGGAAAACATATGACTACTAGAGCTTATATTTGGATCATTAGGAGAATTCAGAGGTTTGAATTTCCTGAGCTGTTTTTTGTCTTAGGAAAAGTGTTATTTATTTATGTAGGTGATCACTCCTATTCCTGGGATGCTTCTTTCGCCAACACCAGAAGGCATATCCTCAAGTCTTTCGGTTTACTCTGTATATCCACTCGTACAGTCTGTTCTTCAGGCAAACATTATTCAAAGAGTACGTTTCGTAGCAAGTGTTGTTTCCATTTGTAAACCGAATTCTTCTCATCACGTGTTTCCTCCCCCCACCCCCTGCAACAGGACACCATCCTTGGTATAATGAAGCAGTTGTCCAACTGTGAAACTACAGGTTCTTATTTGTTCTTGCTTTGTTTCCTATAGCCAGTTTCAGAACAAAAGTTTTAAGGATAAAGACAGGTGAACTTATCCTAGTCTTTTTCATTGGTCTGTAGCCCTTCGTGGCCTTGAAGGAGGATCTGCTCAACAACTTGCTTCCATGGAGAAATCTTTGGTAATACCATGACATGCCTTCGTTGTTGGCCTTCTTGTATGCATTTAATACTTCCAAGAGAAGAACTAACCTCCACTTTTTTTATTTTCCTTTGACAATCCAATTCCAGATGGAAACAATGCATGAGAGGGAGAAAGAGTTGGTTCTTGAAGTAACAGATCTAAGATGGAGGTACTGATCAACAAGTTGGAGACTTTACCTACTGATTTGAACAATTCTGGAAAACCAAACCCTTTTTGCATCAAACGCCCTGCAGAGTCGGACCGACTTAACATTTTTTGTGTGTTGTGATAATGCAGGCTGATATGTGCCCAGGAAGAACTCCAGAAGTACAAAACAGAAAATGCCCAGGTAGTTGTTCTTTACTGGGTTTGATATAACTTAGAGCTCAGTTTCATTTACTTCGCGCGTTCGTGGGCCATGTTAAACACGTACTCGAATGTTTCTGCAGATCTCAAGTAGCAGCAGAGTGGAAGTAGAACAAGTGCCACAGGTACGGCATCATATCAATGGAATCAAAGAAGAAGTTGTTATTAGTCATCAGAGAACAGGAGATAACGCTATCACTAACGCTGCTGCTGCCACCGCGGCAGCAAAGAAGCCTAATATATTGAGTAGGGTTGTGAGTATGAAGTAGACGGGATTTTGTTGTGCCTGGTTCACCATTGTAGCAGGAGACAAGAATTTGTTCTGTACATGTGTTTTCCCCCTCTCGTTGATCGCCATACCCAAATTTTATTTCTTTGGGTAGAGATCTTCTGACGAAAATAATGACTGTCACACTGTGATAGTTGTGAGATAGATTGGTGTTTTCGTTTCTAAGATCCCAATCATTCTTTCTGTTTCTCCTTTTGGAAGATGTAAATATGAATTTGGCAGAAATGAGCGATGGGTTTTGCAGTCCACGCCTTATTTTTGTACTAGTGACAGCCTTATAAACAAGACTAGCTTATTTTCACTTTTTCAGGTGTAAGTATTACTCACGCTATGTACTGTATATTGACACCATTGTGATTCTATGTAGAAACATTTTGGTAAAACGATAAATGAGTCGATTCAAATTGTGATTCTATGTAGATTCTATGTAGAATTGTGATTCTATGTAGATTCTATGTAAAATTACACTTTTGCAGTCAAATTGTGATTCTATGTAGAAACATTTTGGTAAATTAGAAGTGTAAAAACGTAATCTTTTAAACTTTAAAGCATAGATTATCACTACACTTGTGTAAGTGAAAAGTGTAATTTCAATGTAGAAGTGTTTTGGTGATCTAAAAGTGTAAAACGTAAGTTTTTAAGTTTTAAAGCACCATATTAACACCATTGCTCTAAAGAAAACGGGGAGCATAATTTTGGATTGAAAGATTGGGATGAGTAAAACGATAAATGAGTCGATTCAAATTTGGACTTAATTTAAACTCAGCTCTTTAATAAATGAGTGGAGCTCTAGCTCCGTAGCTCGACATATAATGAACTCGCTAGCTATAATTGAGCGTGGCCCATCAATTAGCTAGCAACATCTCTCAAGCTCAAGCGTCATATTATTTAGTTTGTCAATTTTAATTGTTCATATCATATTATTTTATAGTAGTTAGTATCTAAACCATGTAAGCAATCTATGATACATTATTTATCTTTCAAATTATAAATGGAACATATTTGTTCATATACTCATAGTCAACACAATATGTAATGAGATACATAAACTAACAAATCTATGAATTATCAATAATGCAACTTATGAGCTATAAATCGATTCACTCTGAAGCCGCTAGTCGAGGTGGCTCGTTAGCCACACTATCGAGCAAGATAATATCTTAAAACGAGCTAGCTCAAGATTGAGCTCAATAAGCCCTTGAGTTGAGCTAGTTAGCAACCCGAACAAAGCTTAGCTCAAACTCAGCTCATTAATAAACAAATCGAGTGTTGAATGAGTTTTTCCTGAGCCGACAGACCTGGATGAGTATGAGTGAGAATAATTACCACAAACCCTGCTCGCATTCAACCCAATTACGCTTCTTCTAACAACTATTGGTGTTAGGACGTCCTAATACTGGTGCTCTTTGCCATAGTGGTGCTCATTGCAAACCGACAATGATGCTTCGGTCTTTCTAAACAAAAACTTATGTGAACTTTAACTATCCTGCATACTACAATGTCAACAAGTACTTGAAACAAGTAACCGGGCTAATAAAAAAGCCTCCTCATAGAAATGGAATGGAGAAAAGAAAACTGGTGATTGTTTGTTGAGGAAATGAAACGCCAAATTGAATCAGCAATCCACGGCAAGGCAAGTCTGACACCGGAACTGCTGCTCCTAGCTGTTTCAGTCATTCAGATGTGTTGAATTATCAAAGACAAATGAAGGACTTCGTCAAAGGTGGTCCGAAGTGTAGATGACAACGGAAGCTTGGAGATCGCGGTCCACCTTGAAGTGGGCATGGAAAAACCTCTGCGACTGTTTGTTTGCAAACGTTGAGTTAGCTCAAGTAGAAGAATAAACCGCAGGAAACACACACAAGCAAATGTATATAACAAAACCCGATAAGAGCGGAAACTAATGAGGGAAAAAGTTAATCCTTGTTACCTCTCTAAAGGAATGTAAAACCAAGAAATCCCTCAACAGTTGTTCCTGTGATTTGAATAACACAATATGACTAGGTAGAGACCAGTTCTTTGAGAATTCCTCCATAAACCCAACTGGATCAATCATGAATCTATCCGATTCATCTGGGATTCCTTTCTCTTCGCTGAAATGAGAGGACATAGTAAGCATTGCAAGGCTTGGATAGAAAACAAGATACGTGTTTCTAAGAAACTGATACAAAGAACTGACCTTGGCGTACAGTCCAGGAAACGCATTGCGACCTTGTGGTGCAGAGTGGAGTAGTAAGGTGTGGCATGGCAAGGCATTAAGAAGAGAATATGGCTGACTTTATCACCACGAGCTTCTTTGGATAAGTAGATCATCACGTCTTCAGTTCCTCTCTATCTAACAGGCGTCAGAGTAAGTATCAACAAAAAGACATGATTTCATGTAAATTTCAAATCTGCCCTATGTCAACAACACAGGCATCGGAGTGATGGGGCCTATAGCCAAATACCTGATGGACCAAACTCATGTACAGGGCCATTGGGATATTAGTGGCGAGCAAGAAGAAGACAGCAAATCCAGCTTGCGAACAACATTTGTAACATGGAGAGCTTCTCCTTCTGCTATTTGGGGGAGCAGGTTTTGCCATCACGGCCAATGAATATCCAGAAAACATCAAACCTATTGGAAGCACCGGTAAAACAAACCTGTAGGTCATCGCTTAAATCAGAAGATGGCATGTGAAAATGCCAACCATTGAGATAGGAAGTCACTTAACTTGTGACATAAGGAAGATGCTGATCATAGTACCTGAATTCTTTGTGACCCAGTACACTGTAGAGAGTTAACACCCATGCAACAAGGCCAGAAAGCTTCCAATATTTCGACTTGATGATCCCAGCTATTGAGAATGGTAAGAAAGTGAAGAGCATAACTGAAAATCCTTGAGAAAAGTACCAGTGCCACGGGTGAGTTCCATAATAATCTCCACCAGAGGAAAGAAAATTGAACTTCAGGAAATTCAGAGGTACAAATATCCAGGAGTTGTACATGACACGATCAACTATGCTTGAAAGTCCAAGCATGAGCGCCCTAATAGAGTATACCAAAATGTGAAGACAAATAACAAAAAAATAACATAAGAAAGAAGGAAATACACATGAGAAGAAGAGGAGAACAAATTTCATATGGTAACTAACAGCTTGCTTGCAATTTACACAATTTCAGAACTCACATAACTTACCCCACACATCAAAAGAATCATAGCTCAGAATAAATATGCCTCTATCCGATTTACAAACATAAGTTGTTAAGAAAGCTAAGATGATCATTTAGAGAAAGGTGACATACCCTATAGGGACCACTTCTAGAGCAACAAATCTTAACCTGTCACGTGTAAGAAGCAACTCAAGGAAACCAATGTAAACCCATATAATAGCACATGTTGGTCGGATTGCACAAGCTAGTCCTGCTATCGCCAAACCCAACTTCCTTGAAACCAGGGAAGCATCACTTGGAGAGATTCGCATACAAGGCCAGTGATACAGACCCACCAGTGTAAGAACAGCTTCCAGACTATTTGATAATGTGCGGTTGAAGCAAAAGAACATGAACCAATTGGTCAACTGAGCGAAAAGCTGTCACTGAATTAAGGGAAGTGCAACTCCAGATATAGAACAGATTTGAAGTACCCAAGATTCGATTATTTTATGAATTGTGACCATGAAACAACATGTGTTTCAAAAGGATACAGCCCATCTTGCAGCAATGGTACCAAAGATAACAGAAGAAAATTTGTAGCAGTACAAATCGCCAACTGCTGAAAACAAGGCTTGTAGCAACCTTGGAGACTTTACCTACATTTATGAATAAGAGACAGCGAGTGCTGTAACAAGTTCCTGCCTAGTCATGAATTAAAGATACTAGTATTGAATAAACGCCGACGTAGCAGTGAGGATCTACATACCATCAGCCATGGAGTATCAATACCCAAAAATGCCAAAACTTTGTATAATCCAGCAAAGATCAACGGGTGCAAATAACCACGAATTCCCTTCCTCCATTCCCAAGTCAAATGACCATATCTGCAGGTTGAATCATAAACCAATCACCAATTTTCAAACAGATGGAGCAGTCGCAGTAAACCCTCATCAAATGTAAAGCATACTTCCAGCAAAGAAACATTCAGCTAAAGCAAATGCACTTGATCTCGCTACAGAGTAGGAAAAGTAACTTCCATAACTTCATAGAACCCGAGAACTTCAGGTTGTAAGCTCTAAGCACTCAATTACCAGCTAAATTCCACAGAACATTTATCGCATCCGGAAACTTAAAACCCCCCGAGGCAGAAATTCAAAAAGTGGGAAAGATGAGGAATCTATACAATTACCCGAAAACTAAGCGGTGTGCAACTTCCAGAGATTGCCAGTGCTCATCTGGGTTGAAATACGTCTGTATAAGAAGCGAATTAACTATCCGAAACGCCAAACAGAGCAAGAAGATGGTACTATCAGTTGGGGACGAAAGTGAAGTGGGTTCGCGGGACCTCTTCTCTCCACTATTCTGCCGAGAGGAGAGTTGATCATCGGTTTCGACGGTAATGGGTTTTGCAACAACAGGTCGCTGCCTCATTTTACTCCGTCGACGAGAAGCTAGCAGACTGGCAGAGCGGCCACACCCAGCAGAAAGCCGTCCCGTTCGGGGGCTTACAGTTACCAAACCGCGCCTTAAACAAAGATTTGCATTTTTATCCTCCTCCGTCACTTCAGTGCCGGCACTTTCCGGCGAATGCCAGCTGTTCTCGACGGAGATATTATTCCCGGTGCTGGATCCCTGATACTGCGCAGATCGCTGGTGAAAGTGGTGGTGATTTGATCGAGCAGCTTGGAGATTGGTAGCCTTGACGCTTGAGAAATGCGAAGTTGGACTGAGCGGGCCGGGTTTGACCTCCTATTGGGCTCTTCCAGCTATTGGGCTTTGTTTCAATTGTTTGTTCCACTCCACCACCACTTCATCGGTCGCCGGTCGGTCTCCCTAATTAAAAGGGAAATGACCTCTCAAGTACGAAGTTCAATCCAGAGTCTGCAAGTGGCTCTTATCGCCATAAACACTCTCAATACAGCAATGGCGATCCGACATTGCCTCACTCCTTTCCCTCCAACCAAATCCACTCCCTTTCTTCTCCACAAACCTATATAAAAAACCCACTCCTTCATCAATAATCAATCCAAAACAAACACATCAATCCTTGCAATTGCATCACAAAAAATGGCTACCTCCATACATCTCACTCTCTTGTCCTTCCTCTTCCTCGCTGCCGCCGGCTCTTGCTTGGCTTTCAACGTAACCCAGGTCTTGGGCCCGCTGAGGCAGTTCAGCACCTTCTCCAACTACCTGGCCCAGGTCGGCGTAGTCGGAATGATGACGAACCTGAAGAACGTCACCATCCTCGCCGTCGACAACGCCAACATGGGCTCCATCTCCGGGAAGTCACGTGAGGAGATCAAGCGGGTGATGACGATGCACGTGATCCCCGAGTACTACGACTTGGACCGCCTCAGGAGCCTCGAAAACGGCACCGCATTGATCCGCACCATTTACGTCCTGACGGGAAAGGCCAGGGGCAAAGATGGAATGTTGCTGGTCACCAAGAGAGGGAAAGGCGGTCGGATTTCCTTCGCCAGCGCGATTCTTCCCCGGTCCAAGCCCAGTACGGTCACTCTCCTCCGATCGGTCGTCGTTCCGTCGCTTAATGTGTCAATCTTCCAGGTCAGCGGCGTGATTGTTTCCCCACCGCCCGTCGTCAGCGTCGCCAGTGAGGGGGCCGGGGCCGACTCTGCCGGCCGGATTGCGGTGTCGAGCAAATTGGTGGCGCGGAGGGAGTTTCCGGCGGTGAACAAGGCGGGGGATTTGAATCAGGTGTTCATGCCGAAGACATTGAAACCAGACGGCGACGAGGAGAAGGAGGAGGGGGATGATATCAATACGTCGGAGAAGGCGGCGTCGAAAGGCGATGAAGAGAGTGCTCCGGCGAAGGCTCCGTCCAAGGCTCCGTCCAAATCCCCATCCAAGAACGCCTCCCCGCCGAAGAAATCGCCGGCGAAGGCTCCGTCGCCCTCGAAATCGTCGAATTCCACCTCCGGCGGGAAGAAGGGGAAATCGACGGCGCCCGCTCCATCGCCGTCGTCGGACTCTCCCGCTCCGGCTCCGTCCAAGAAGAAGAAGAGCGACTCGCCGGCGCCGTCGAAGGACGCGCCATCAAAGTCCCCAGCGGCGTCGAAGTCTCCCAAGGCGGCGAAATCCTCGGAACCATCGCCGGCAGACTCTTCATCCGACGATTCCCCGGCGCCTTCCAAGTCGAGCAAAGGCGGCTCGTCTTCCGATTCTCCCGCCAGCGGGTCCTCGTCGGAATCTCCGGACAGCAGCTCTTCCCCATCGCCGTCCGACGACTATTACGCGAAATCGTCTCCTCCCGCGCCGGCCAAGGGATCGGAATCCCCCAATGCGGAAAGCCCATCCGACGAAGCCGAAGCGCCGGCAGAAGCACCTTCTGGTGGTGCGTCTCCGATGAGCGTCACCAATGTTGGGATCATGATGACGGTGATGGCTTTGTGGGCCCTGGCCGTGTAGCCACAACGGCGTCGTGGTGACGATTTATTTATTTAGGTTAAAAGAGATTTAGAGGTTACAGAAAACTAGAAAAGAGATTAAAAAACAAAAGGTTAGGGCTTAATATTACTGCAATTGGGGGCTCGCCGGAATAAGGTGAGGGTGCACCGCCTCCAGCGCCCAGCGGTGGGCGGGCATCGAATTTTTGTCGGAAACAAAAAAAAAAGTCATGTTAGCGTTTAATAGTTGGTTTCCATATGTTTTTCTTTTCGTTTCCAAAAACTGTTTGTAGTAAACAGTTGGGAGCGATGAAAAAACAAATTGTATAATAACACTTTTTTTTTACGAAATTTGATTTCATTACGAAAAAAGAAATGTGATACAGAGTTTGGATCGAAATCCAGGAAGGATTGAAGACAGAACATGGAGCCACCAAACACAATAGGCCCAACAAATCAAGTGGAGAAAAAAACTAAAAATTCCAAAGCCCCCACCAAACCCAACGAAAAGAAAAGAAAACCAAGCCCAATCCAATACAACAACAATGAAAACAGATCAAACACAAACCCTAAGCCCACAAAAATCCCAACGTCACTACACGAACATGACACCCAGATGCCGCCGCACACCATCCCCAACAGGCAACACCACCACATCTCCATCAGAAACACCACCACATCTCAAGCACATCACATCAACACAAAGGGGAGGACAAAACAACCCCCAAGAAGCCCCGCCGACAATCCAAAAGTGTAAAGGGTAAAACTCGTGCTTGACAAAAAATGCATCAACATTCAGGTTAACTCGATAAAGCGAGGCTTTGGGTTCAACTATCATAAGAGGCGAGTTCAATTTGGATTTAATCCCAAAGCTATCCAAAATTTATGAATACACATGAATTAACATGAACTCACACAAATTTTTCTGACTGGTTTGATAAAGCAAGGCTAGTTTATGAGAAAATCCACAAGCGACCCAATCCGTTGATCACAAAAGCGAGTAAAATGTGTTCTCGCCCCCAAAAGTGTCAAAGGTAAAATTCGTCATCGACCCACAATGCGTCAACACTGGACTTAACTCGACCCAGAATTCGGCAATTCCAAAAATGGGTAGAATTAGGTTAAATACACATGAATTTGGGTTCAATTATCAGGAAATAATAAAAATATTTGATTAATTAAAGAAAAGTAAACAATAAAATAATCATAGTTGATGTGACTACCAAATATTAACCCAAAACTTGTTCTTTTAAAGAGTTTCAAAGACAAAAAAACTTGTTCGACCTAAAATTTGTTAATACCGAGTTCAACTCACTCTATTGATTTAAGCATGTAAAACTCGCTTACCCGGTTCAACCCATTGATTTAAAAGTGTAAAATTCATTGTCGACCCAAATTTGTAAAAACTGAGTTCAAATCGCTCTAACCATGTTGAATACCCATTGAGTTGGGTTCAATTAGGATTCAATTGTCATAAGTTAATTGATTAGAATGTTAATAGCATAAAATCAGTTGATTTGAACCTTAATGGCATCCAAACTTTGGTTAATTAATTAATTAATTAAATATAAAAAGAGCACTCCTTGTGATGGGACACTATGCAATAGCAACTTCTTATTTTTTCTTTTATGTTAAGCCTAACCTGAAAAGGTTATGTTCCGGACATTACATTAATAGAGCATTTGGTCACGAATTTTCATAAATCTCTATCATGTCGAGAATTTTACACTATTTGAGTTATTTTGGCCAATTTGTGGGTTAGTACTAGTAGTCAAGTTGGACGATCAATATTATTACCAGTAGTGAATAATCACATATTGCTTACGTGAATGGTACATAGTAGTCTATTAATGTAACTAGCCTATTACCCGGCTCGTTGGCCGGATTACTGTTTATTACCCACTTGTGGAATAGGAGAGAAAGCAAGTGAGAGTGAAGGGATTGGGATTCCACTTGATTAGGACCGACCCACTAATCCGATTCTTCCCGACCCGCCCCAACCTAAAGGGTCAGAAAGAGTCAATAAGAAAATACGAACGGAGAGGATTAGTCATATCATATATCTTGACTCTTCAGAAGTGGGTCAAACAGGATCAAGGTTGGGTGAGGGAAATTTTTAGCGCTAAGCAGAGTTCTGGGTTGAATAACTTTACTTAGGCCTAGAAATTGGTGTTGATGCAGACTGCAGTTTTTATTATACCATCATCAATCATCATTGAATTAGTCCTGGGCATCCCTCCCCGTTGTCGGTATGAATTCTAATGATACTCCGTTCCTTGCACCAGCCTTATCAGCGAGTTGTCATCTCGAGCATGATTTGCCTATGTACAAATGATACAATTAGAGTATGAAACTGAATTCAAAGAAAAGGAAAAGAGATTTCTATCACATGTCAATAAATACACACATAATAGTTGAAGCTAAGTGAAAGTCATTACTCGCACATCAATTCTCAAAAATTACAGACTAAACAATGGCTAGAATGGCACTGAAACTACCAAGAATCATGGACGAAACAACTTGTCAAATTAAATAATCCTTATACTGAAACTACCTTCTAACTTGAAATAAGACATGATCACAGTTCATAGCTCTCTTCTCACTATGAATTGGTTGCAGCTCGTCCTTATCACTGCCTCCCAAGCTCAATTCAAACAGAATAGAGACCGTTATGTAAGATAACCATATCCTTACTGATCATAATTCCTTTCTTCACTCCATTTTTGTCAGAGAAAAGAGTTACCCCCCTCTCCTGCATTTCCCTTTCCCCCTCTCTTCTCCCTCTTCTTCACAAACCGATCCCTAAACCAGCAACAACAACACAAAAATAGCCTTCGCCTCTGCCATCTCCATCTACTGAACGCGTTGGTGGCAAGACAGGACTGCAGAAGCAAAATTTTCTAAAATCAAACTAAATTTTTTGAAGGAGACTCAACCACGAAAAAATAGTAAAGCAACAATGCTAATAGTTCAGATGGTTGGTTTTGATGTTATACATTGCTTTTGTTCTGGTCTCCAGTATATCAACTACAATAGAGATGTTTCCTCCAATCATCTTTAGTGCACGATTTAGAAGCAAGTCCTCCTGTTTGTGTCAAACGGAAACATTCATGGGTTCTTAACTCCCCTGTTAGTGTAAAAGCAGCAGCAACAAAGAAGTTTGACAACACAGCAAGCACCCAGGCAAAATGATACAATGCAGTAGGTGATATGTGTCTCGAAGGTTTTGAGTTACTAAAGTTCATGTTAAAAATAAACATGAATTAAAATGGATTATTCTATTAAGCAAACATCCCCTCCAATCATACAAAGATCAGATATCCAATTCACAAACAATTAAGCCATAAAAAATCATCACACATCCACCACCTTTGATTGCCTAAATTTGGTTTTTCGCAAAAGTTATGGACTTTTAAGGGAAACGTTCATGGGTAGTCTGTTTCATAACTCTAGAGAGCACAGTAAGCAGCCACCAGCCAGACACAGTGCGGTAGGCGAATATGATTCTCAATTCACAATTTCTCACCACCGGAAGTAAGAACAGACCATAATAAGCGTAGCGTTCATGGGTGGTCTGTTTCATAGCACTACTACACAATTTGTTAAAAAAGAAAGAAAGGTATTTAGCACCACGGCGGAACAACTTTTACAGGCTAACAACGACAACATGCTGCAACCACCAGAACTGGTATCACAACTCATAGGGAAAATCAAAAGATTTACTCTCAAATTAAGCAATTACAACATCGAGCAATTGTCAAGCACATACACCATCACAAAAGTCACGGAACTTGATTCACAAAGCATTAAAACATTTGAGGACATTTCTGCAAAGGTACAACTTATATGTCTTTTTTCCAAGCCATTTCCATCAAATGCTAATAAATTTGCAATGCATAAAACAAACGGGCCAAAACTTGAAATTCAGCCTGTTTGACGACCCATGCCAAATTCTAATTATTCTTTACTTTTAAACTTTCTATTTGAAAAAAAAATAGTGAAAGAAAAGAGACGACTACAATTCGCCATTTGCACATCACTTATTCGGGAATAAAACCATAAAAATTCAAAAGGAACTGAAAATGTTTAGAATCGTTATAATGTTTAAAATAATCAAATAGATCTTTATGTTTAATTTTTTACTAACAAATACCAAACGATTCCCTATAAAATACACTATAATTTGATCATTATGATATCAAATAATTATAAAATATATATTTGAAATGATAAAAATTGGACTAATTGTGTTGGTCGAGGTTGAACCATTGAATAACTTTAAAATACATTATATTTTAGCCACTAAGATATAAAATAATAGCATAATATATATTATGTCAGAGAAACTAGCTTATTTTAGAATGACAAACCAATGATGTTCATTTATTTTACTTGATGGCCAAATCCCATGTAGGTCAGGCACATTCAACTATTTTATTTTATGGTTGGCGGTTAGCCCATTAGATACCATGCATTAGTTTATTGTTAAATGTTTTATTTTTAACAATAAAAAGGAGTATTATTTTTACCTTTTCATATATATTTTGTCACCACGGAGAAATAAAAGGGCTTAAAGAAAAAAAATTGACACTCCTGGGCCCGTTTAAATTCACATGTGTACGGTAAGTAGGCCCGTTCCACAGAGGAAAGAGAAAAAAAATTGACACTCCCTATTCTACCCTTCCTACAAACGCTCATGGAGCAGAGAATTTGAAATGGGGGAAGGGTTTTTTCCTCCCTGCTATTATATGTTTCTAATCTAAAAAGATACAACAAATGTGCTTAGTGTGATTGGTTATTATCCTTGCTTTTCTTTAAAATGGTTATGGTTCGAATCCCAGTACGTGTCTTTTTAATGAATAAAAAAAAGTAATTGTGAAGACCAAAATGTCCTTCCTACTTTCACTCTCGTTGCAGGAAATTTGAAATGGGGCTCCCGTTTTTCCCTTCGGCGTATTATATTATGTGTAGACTTTTAGGTCAAACTAATGTATTAACCCAAATATTAATGAAATAAATTGTTGAAAATCTGTTTTTTAAATTATTTTATTAAATTTCTAGACTACGAGGCATCCACATTAGCAATATGTGCCAACTTACTAATATTCAATATGTTGACCATCCAACATGACCGTCAACCCACGAATCAGGACAAAGTAGCCCAAATAGTGTAAAGTTAAAGACATAATAAAGATTTTTGAAAATTTCGGCTAAAGTAGTCTGTGTAAAGTTCGGACCAATCTAAATTATATAAACCCAACCCAATAAACAAACTAGACTCATTCATTCCCTGTTCATTTGCCATTTTGTTTTCTATTTTTTCTTTCCACAATAGAAATTTGAAAACACAAATAAAAAAACTTGTTCACTTCCAATTTTGTTTTTCCGTGGGGAAACCAAATAGAAATATTGGTGCAGCTGCCAGAAAACAACAAATAGTTGTTTCTTCAAAATGGGGTACACGGGTTTCTCCCCGTTTTCTGCGGAAATTGATTTATTAAATGGTAGTTTGATAATCATGATTAGACTTGTATGATACACAATGAAAAAGTTGTGATAATCAGTATCAGAAAACAGAATGAAGTAACTAAACAGGTTTTCATTTTTAGAATTCAGTTTTAGAATTCACCAAAATTCTCAGCTAAACAAGTTTTCTTCAGGTTTTGTTTTTCAGAAAATGACAGCTTCGTTTTCATTTCAATTTGTTTTCTGTTAAGCAATTTTGAAAAAACGAAATGGCAAGTGAACGGGCTATCAACTTTAAACAATGATTATTTTTACGTTTTAACACTGAAAATGATCTGTTGTTAAAAATGTGAGATTATATAAAAATTTATTCCATAGAATGAATTTTGAATATTGCCAAATGAAATCTCAAAGAGTTGGTCTAAGAATGAAATTATTGATCACATCCTCAATTTAAATATTGGATCCAGCTAGGGATGGCAACAAAACCCGAACCCACGGGTACCCACCCGATCCAACCCGGTCAACGCGGGTAAAATTCGTGTTGACGGGTTTTGGGCCGGGTTTGGGTTTAAACCCGTTCACTATTCATTTGGTTGGGTTGGGTTTGGGTTTAGGTAAACCCGACCCATGGGTACCCGCCCACACCCATATAATTAATTTTCTCGGTATATTTAATATTCTAAACAACTAATCTTATTTATGTTTGTGGAGACATCTCTAATTTTTCTTTCTAATTGTGTAGAACGAAGTTGATGTTATCGAGTGGAGAGTGAAGAAACTTAATTGAAAGGAAGAAGTTTTCAATTAATCATGTTATTTATGGATAATTTATGATTTGCTTCAATTTTCTTGAGTTTTCTAGATTGATGTTGAACAATTTGTATAGTTAATTTGTGATTTGCTTGAATTTCTAGAATGGTGTTTTATATATGAATAATTTGTATTGAGAGATTGATATTTGGTTTTAATTTCGATAGGAACTTGTTATTGTAATTTTTTACGACAAAAACCCGTGGGTACCCATGAACCTGCGAATACCCAGCGGGTTGGGTTGGGTTTGAGTTTTTCAAACCCAGTGGGTTTTACCCCGAATTTTTTACACGGATAAACCCATGGATATGGGTTTGGGTTTGACAAAACCCGACCCAACCCGACCCATTGCCATCCCTAGATCCAGCAATCATTGAAAAAAATATATTGTCAAAATGTACAATAAAAGAAATATGTAAAAAGTGCAAATTGTTATATATCCAAAAATATTATACGAGGGCCACTTGCTAGTTGCTAGCATTCAATATTCTGGAAGGGTCTGTCGAACCGGAGGAAACTGCGAGTTCTTCCAATCTCTCTCCACAATCATACATCAGCAAATCATAACCGAAGGAATTCTTGTTGTCATCGATCGTCTCCTGACGTTGAAATTCATATCACCAAACGGCGACACCAATCTCCTCCTGAGATCGTCACTCATCAATACTGTTTCCGCATCACGCTCAGGCCTCTGCTGCTTCCGCTTCTTCAATTCATTCTTCTTCTCCCTCGCCTCTCTCTCTCGAGTGGGATAAGCAGAAGAACAGGGACGGCGGGGAAGAACCGGAGAAATGTCGTCGTTTGAGGGAGGCGGAGGCGGGGAGAAGAAGTACGTGGAGTTCTGTACGGGCGTTAATGGCCTCGATAAGGTCATCCTGCGCGAGGTCCGTGGCCAATCTGCTGAGGTAGTTTTTGCTTTCCCTCGCTTTCTTCGCTTCCCTTCCTTTGTTCACTCAGATGCACATTTCTCCCTTCGCGCGGATCCGTATCAAAATTTGAGCTGATCGAACGTAGCTGGTTTCAACAATGTCGTCGTCATTTGTGCTCTGTTGCTGTTACGATTGAGAATTTGAATGATGATTGCGGTGGCCACAATTCGTTTGAGTCGAATTTCCCATCGAGGAAGCATTTATTTCAGCCAGTGGATCAATGGATTTGTGGAGATTGACAGAGGAGGAATGCTTGTGTTCGTTGCTTATGGTTTGCTCCAGGCATTTATCACTTCAGTTGCCTGGATCCTAGCTTTGAAATTTCTTTCCGAAGTATATTGAATCCCAACTTCAGAACGTTTTTCCGGTGGATCTGGTAGGAGCACTACGCCGATTATTTTCCCTTTCACATTGTTCTGTGCAACTCTGGTCTGATCCATTACCTTCATCTGTGAGTCTTGACATGATAAATGAATGATTCCTGCTGCTGATTCGACGTTTACTGGTAGCATAGGCAAACTACTGAAATGATTTGTTGGCTAGACAAGTATTTTGAGTGTCCGAATTGGGAGCTTGGAGAACAGTTGGAGAAGGGATTGTTTTATGCGAAATAGATGTTAATACTTCTCTAGTGAGGTGCAGTTTATCAGAATTTAGGGTCTGTGAAAACGATGGAAGGTCAGTTGGCTCACCGTTAGTATCAATCCATTTCAAGCCGTGATATAACTATCCTTTTGCTTTGAATCGGAAGAGAGACGGCAGTCATAATTGTTGTGATGGAAGAAAGTTCAGATTCTGTTTTCTCAAATCTTTTTACGTAATTCTAGAAGTTGAACTTCAAATATCATGAATTTTTATTGAAGAGAGGAGTGACTTGTGTTTTTTTCACCCCCATCTGTGGACAGGTTTACTTGAATGGAGGTCAAGTTACATCTTGGAAGAATGAATATGGAGAAGAATTGCTTTTCCTTAGTAGCAAGGTATCCTTCTGGCTTCCTTAGTAAAGTTATGGAAGTTCAATTCTAATATGGAGAAGAACTGCTTTTCCAACTCACCATGAACATCAATGTTAATCCCACACCTGAACTTTGACAAACTTTTTGCGTAGCTTGTTACTTGCAAATGTATGGCACTGCATACTTCTCTAAATCAGTTTGGTTGCATGCCCTAAAAGACTTATTCATTCTGGTCATCTTGTCTAGGCTTAATATGGTCACTACTCAAGCCAGCAATACCACCTTTGTATATAATTATTTTTCCTGCTTTCTGCAATATTGCCTTTGTTCCTTTCAAATCGTGAATTTGCTATCTTTGAGCAGGCTGTTTTCAAACCTCCAACGGCAATAAGAGGAGGTATCCCCATTAGCTTTCCTCAAGTAGGTGCTTCTCTTTTCTTCTCAAAGCTCTGTTTCTTAAGTAACTTGTCTTCCATATTTACCATGTTAAACACTTGCAGTTTGGAATGCATGGTTCCCTTGAACAACATGGATTTGCAAGAAACACAGTTTGGACCATCGATAAAGACCCCCCTCCATTTCCCACAGTTAGTTCCAATAAGGCCTTCATTGATTTAATACTTAAACCATCTGAAGACGATCCAAAGAGCTGGCCTCACAGGTGCATGTCTTGTTCGCTCCTATTTTCGTGTTTCGAGTCTTCTGTGATTTTAAAACAGGCCATCACTTTTATTTTCTTGCCTTAGAGAAAGATTGTTGGTAGTTCTAAGTTTTGAGCCAGTTTGGGTCTGTATGATAATATTCTCCAACTGTTTTCAGATTTGAATTTCGGATAAGGATAACTCTGGGACCTGGAGGAGATCTGATGTTGACATCCCGCATCCGGAATACAAATACTGATGGGAAACCTTTTACATTTACCTTCGCCTATAACAACTATTTCTACCTCACCGATATCAGGTTTTCTCATGACCTTCTTTAATTGTTTCTGTATCTGTGTATGGGACCACGGATCCTCATTCTGTTAGTTTTGCTGCTATTGGATGCATTCTGTTGAATGCAAAAATTTTACTACTTATCCTTAATGTTCAATTCAAACAGTATGCGTGTCCATGCATGGTGCTGTAGTCTAGTGTACTATTAACTTGTTGACAGAGTGCTTTTCTTAGGGTTGCGTGTTCCTTTGTATACCAGCCTGGGCTGATAGAGGTCCTCCAATGCTTTGTTAGTTTGTTGCGCTATCCAATCACAAGTGAAGAATCAGTAAGTGAGAGTATGATGTCCCTACTGTAGAATGTAGTTCAGTGGTACTTAAGTAATCTGGAGCGGATTCATAGTCATATCCAGTTGGGAGGCTTAACATTCCTTCCTAGTCATAAATACCTCTTTATGGATAGCAAGTGTGGCTGCTGCAAACTCTCTAAATTATAACTTGGAGTTGTGTGCATCATGAAGTTAAATTATGTGCAGTAAATTCAATGTTTGTTCATTTCAGATAACAATCAGTTTCAGTGAAATGTGAATTTCACTGGTTTCATTGACAAAACAATTATCTGGTATGTCTCTCCTTAATGACCAAGACCGCTTTTTGCTTTCATCTAGTGAAGTGCGGATAGAAGGATTAGAGACATTGGATTATCTGGATAACCTTAACAGCAGGGATCGAGTTACTGAACAAGGCGATGCCATAACATTTGAATCAGAAGTCTGTATCTAAGTTTCCTCGTAGTTATGTTTGTAATTTTACCTCGCCCTTGTGTTATAGACTGGTGATGGTAATACTATATTCTGATGCTAAAGGTTGACAAAGTATACTTGAAGACTCCTACTAAGATAGCTATTTTGGACCATGAGAGGAAGAGAACGTATGTATTGCGGAAAGATGGACTTCCGGATGCCGGTTAGTGATCCTCCTTTTCTATTGTCCGTATGCACACTTGCATAGCTGTTTATGGAGGTTTTGTAACCTTTCCCCTGTGTGTTTAGCTGCTGCATTGCTTTTGTTTTTTCACTCTTAGTAGAATGGCCTTGTAAAAATTCATTGCGTTAAGTTACCTTTTGTGACTTTTGCTTTGCAGTTGTTTGGAATCCATGGGACAAGAGAGCGAAGGCAATCGTGGATTTAGGTGATGAGGAGTACAAGCATATGCTGATGGTAGGCGCTGCTTGTGTGGAGAAGCCGATAACATTGAAACCTGGGGAAGAATGGAAAGGCAGGCAGGAGCTTTCAGCTGTTCCCTCTAGTTACTGTAGCGGACAACTTGATCCACAGAAGGTGCTCCGTTTAGGCTAGGAGAATTCGGCATTCGCGAGACCATCCATCTCTTAACAGGTATCGTCCTCACCGTCATTCATGGCCTAGCTTCGAGTTAGCAAACTTCTTTATACTTTCTCAGTAGAAGAAAAATGCTTTGATTTAGTGGAGGCGGCGTTATGTTTGATCTACGGGCTTGGTTTTCTAATTAATGAAAGAAAGCAAAAAAATCCCAGGGGCCAGGTGCTCCTTTGTAGAAAGCTGCCAAGTTGGTGCAGAAGCTTAATTTTTGGAGGAGGGCAGTTAGAGAACGTTGCGTATAAACTACAGGACTTGTGTTGAGTACAATTGTAAACAAAGCATCCTTCCTCTGTTAGGTAACTCTCCCAGTAAGATGGTAGAAAATGATGGACAGTTCTTATTTTCTGTTTTTTTTTTTTTTTTTTTTTTTGGAATGGAAGGAAGGAGTTATTGATATTTTTATTTTGGTAGAAGAGTTATTGATATTTTTAGGATAGAACTAGATCATGCGAAATTGTCAAAGACAAACACCAACTCCAATTTTTTTAACATAGATTTCACCGACTTGGATTGCATATAGCAATCTCTGACGACGGATCAAAGCAGCAGCAGGAGCAAGAGAGCAACTAATATTTATGCTATTTACAAAAAACGGGTTGTCGCAAGGTTACTATTCTGCGACATTAATAAAAACAAGAAGATACGGATCATGAGAGAACTCTTTCTTCTTTCAATAACAACAGCACTGTAGCATGCGCGGGCGCAATGACGGCTGCCTGGGTAGTTTGTGGTCGGAGAATAGATCGACGTCGACGAAACTCTGCGACCGAGGCTCTGGTTTTTCTCTGGTAGCAATCTCAGGCTATATCCGCCGCGAGAGGCGAAGTGGAGCCACACGTCCTCCTCGCATTCGACGACAGGAAGATTCGCCAGAACGGCCGGTTCCGCTTGAGAAGATCGCCGGCGGTGCGGCCGCCGCCGTTGACCATCTCAAGTTCGGAGCGGCGCAGCATTTCCCACATGACCTGGACGTCCTCGTACCCGCAAGTCTGGACGTCGTTGTGGAGCATCAGAATCCCGCCACCTGTTACAAAAACGGGAAACCCCACTCTCCGCCGTTAGTCCGTTTCCTATCTTCTTGGCAGCTTTGTCGACATGAACTCTGATGATTAGATTAATTAATTAATAATAAGAGGATGTATAATATCTAGCTAGTGACTGAGGTTGTTCCAAGTGGTAGTAAACTAGTAATGCCGCTTTCCGTAAGCGACAAATTACATATTGTTTTATGGGCTGCGTCGGTGGAGGAGGCGGGGTCAGCAGCCACAGCGTCCATTGAAAATTCGGATTATTAGGGGGCCACACTCATTAGAACTCGAATTAACTTGAGTAGGTCAAGATCATAAAACGGTAAGGACGATCTTGAATCTCAACAGCCATCGGATCATTGATGCTTCTCAAGGGGAAAGAAACAACATCATGATGCTTACTTTACTCTTTTACTTTTACTCACACCACTTGCTCATAAAATCACCACATGGTGAAATCAAATTTTTTTTTTACTAATGATTAAAGGAAGGGTAAAGAAAGAAGATCATGGCAAATCAAGATTTTTTTTTTTATTTTTGTTTGAAATTCGCAAAGACAGTGCACAACTTTCGGCGTGGAGATGTATACCAAAACCAAACGAATATTTCGTGCAAATTTCTTTTATGAGGATAAAATGATTATTCGTCAAAAAGAATATAGGAATTTACACAGTTGAATTACTATTTTGGTGAAAATTATTATTTATTTATTTATAATAAATAATACTGGTTAAACAATTCTCTCGTGGGGAAATAACAAAGAACTGCTTGCAGTTGCAAACTATGAAATCTGCTTAATTGATTTTCCGAGTCAAATAAGTCTGGTTGGCTTTACTTCTTCGATGAATCTTTCCTTTCTTTCCGCGGGAGGAAAAGATCAGTGAATAAAAATGGCGAAAGAGAAGAAGAAAATGGGTGGCGATGGATCCGAGCTGCAAGAACAGGAGAAGGGGAAAACTAAGAAGAAGAAGAAGAAAATGGAGAATTGGGTTACATACCGTGTTTGCGTGATGACTTGACGCGGGCCGAAACGGCGACCCAAACGCGACGGACGGGGAAGACGACTTTGTTCCACCAATCCATCAATCGATCTTTAACTCTGAATCCTTTCCTCTTGCCGGCGCCGGCGACCAAGCTGCACCACTTCCGCCTCGACCGCCTGAATCCGCCGCCGCCGTCGTCCTCGCTGCTGCGGGCGAGAACTCTGAGGGCGACGCTTCTTATCCCCGCCAGACCTCTCGATTACCACCGCTCCCCACTAGTTCCACCGATGGCGGGCGTCTCACACAGAATCCCCCGACTGGCCTTCCTTCAATTATTTAATGGAGGGCAGAGAGAGAGAAAGAGAGAGAGGTGAAGGGCTTTTTAGCGTTGGGGCATATGCCGTCTAAAATGTTATGTTATCAGTATTATGGTGTGATTTTCCAACCACCATTTTTATTCACTGATCTTTCCTTTCTTCTTTAATTTAATTTTAATAATGATAACCATAAAATAAAATAGAAGTGAAAGAAGGGGATGGGGGGAAGGGGATGGTCCGTCACATTGTCGTTAACGTTATGATAAATACGACTAAGAAAATAATAATAATAATTAAGAAATGGGAATCACGGGGACGGAGCATCCACCGACACGTCACTCCACATTTATCGCGGTTTTAAACCGACCAGTCAACATCTCTGTGATCTCACTCGCTCACACGCAGAGTGGGGCTGCTTTTCTGGCCGCCCACTCCTTTTTAAGTTTTTTTTCCTTTCCGTTTTCCGTTTCCTCTTTTCCTTTCCATTGTCCTTTGCCGTTATGAGGGGGGTGGTGACCGGTGACCGGCCAATTGGCTAGCCCGTTAAAGTATTGGGTAGTTCTTTGTAATTTGCCCTCCTTGTAATTAGGGATTTACTTAGCAAACACGAATATCCGTTTAGGGTATGTGTTTGATTTGTTGTAGCCTAGTAGATACGTGCTGTTTCGGGTTTTTTTGTTGTTGTTGTTGTAATTTTGGATCTTGGAATAAAGCCTTACTTTTAAAATTATTGGTGTTTTTTTGCACATTGATATTGTACTTAAATGTACAATACAAAGTTGAATTTGTATTATAAAGATTTTGTATTTTTATTGTATGGTACAAGTTCAGTTTGTACCATAACATAAAGATACAAATTAAGTTTGTATCATAATTAAATTTTTACAAAAAATATTTAGGAATGTATCCTAATGTTGAAGTTAAATTAAGTTCAATTTGGACCATAAAGAGCTTTTTTAAAACCAAAACACCAATAATTTAAAATATTATAAAATACTTTCTTGAATAATAAATGAATCGTTTGGCATGCATATTTGTGTGTATTATTCGGGGTCAATTCCCATATGATTGAGCTTTGTGCATAAGTAATATGTTTGGTTAGGAAAAAATAGTAACTTTAGAGTGATATTCTTCGAATACAACAAATGTTTTATTCTTTTCAAATACTCGGGGAGGAATAGTATTTGAAAAATACCATAGTGTTGTGTATTTTTATTATAGTTTTGTCCTTATTTTCATATAAATTGAAAACATCCTTACTTTTTTTTCGAGATTGATATAGTCCTTCTCCGGTCATATCTCACTGTAATCATTTCCACCTTCTTCTTCTTTGATGTCGTTGGCTTGGCTTTTCAATGCTGCAGTGAGTCCAGTGGCGGATCCAGAAATTTTATATAGGGGTGTCCTCTCCTAAAAATTAAGTTAAAATAATAATCAAATAATTATTAAATAAGAAAATATATGGCTTGTCCAAAGGAAAACAAAGCACATGACGTGTTTCGTATTTTGGAAAAATTATAAAATACAATCGGTGTCCAACAATGCTCTATAAATCTCTCTCGATATATCCTACTAGACTAGGGGAGCCCGTAATTGGGTTTAATCGTTAGCTTTTGAAAATAATTGGGATAAAAAAATAGCTTTTTACTATTATATTTGGATTTGAAATACAAGATCAAATGAGTTATAGTCTAATGAAGAATATGTTTACTAATAGTAGCATCGACCCAAGTTCAAATCACATAGGAAACCACTTAAATGTTTATATTTACCCATACACAAACTATTATTGGGGATTATAATCGTTTTTCAAAATTTTAGGAGTGTCCCGCCATCACTTAAATATTTTTTTTTACCTATATGCAAACTATTATCGGGGTTGAATAATCGTGTTCTCAAATTTTAGAGGTGTCCCGATACACCCTAGAGCCCCATGGATCCGCCACTGAGTGAGTCTAACATGCTCTTCTTTTTATTCACTAGCTTATAACCCGGCCCTTTGGCCGGAATGCTCATATTTGATTATTTGTATTTTTATGTTACTTTTAAGTCTATTAACCCGTTTAATCTTATTGATAATCATTTGATCGAGATGATACATAAAGAAATAATATATAGGTCGAAGATTCGGAGAAATATCATAATCATTTAAGAATATAAAATATAAAAATGTATCATTGACCCCATTTTCATAATGCTAATTAAGTCCCTGTTAAAATGCTATTGGTTAGTTTTCTTTTACAGTCAAGAAATATAGAGTATAAAAGCTCACTGAAATTCTCACACAACCTATAGATAGTTTGAAACTAAATCTTAAACCTCACAATCCTATATAAAGGGTTCAATGCTCTCATTTTAGAAACAATATGTCACTAATCAAAAAGAAATGGAGAATTGTTGATTCAAGTCATCTATATAGTAAAAACTCAGCTAAGAGGAGACCATCACAACTTGAGAGCAAACGAAAAAATCAGGGTTATCTCCAATATACGAATAGACTCGATCAAAGTAATAAGGCGCAAAATTAGACACTCCTTATCTATTAGTTCCAGTAGGTTGAATAAAGAAGCGACCTATTTCAAACAATCAATCAATGATTCCTCGTTTTAAGATAGAAATAGGTTATGACAGTTGCAAAAACCATAAACATAAAGATCCAATAGCCACCACTCTCCGTTGTACAACCAAATTTCTATCTCAAGAGGCATATATTCAACCAAAAATTCAATTTCTAATCTTCCTTCTACAACTTCAGTTATTGATGAACTCCATTCTATTCGCCATGAATTGATATCGGAGTTGAAATCTTCTACTCGCCCAGCTTAAAATCCCCAACAATAAAACCGTAGTGCCAAGAGATACCTGAAGATTGATTTTCAATGACAGTCTTGTATTGGGAAGTGAAAGGCGCAAACTATTGCACGATGGATGAAATTTCGGAGGAAGTTATAAAGAGAAAAGAACAAAGATAAAAAAAACACAAAATTTAAATTGAAAAATGCAAGGATACAACAGTAGTTACATAATTAGTTTCTTCCATGTTGGCCAATTACCCATTTACCTTTAGCAAAAATTAAGGAGAGAGCGAGAATTTAAAATTGAGAAAATTACATGAAACTCTACTATGAAAATAGAAGTATCAAGCTCGATAAAAATAAATACGGTAGACTTAGTGAGCTTGCTAATTATGATAAAAAGTCCTCTGATTTTCAGAGATTAACTTTGTCTATTTTTTTTATAAAAAAGAATGCAATAAATTTGTTTAGTGTAACTGGTTGTGATTGTTATATTTGTTTGAAGAGACCCGGGTTCAAACCTTGATATTGCTATTTTTATATGAAATAAATAATAAATGTGTAAAGACAAAAATGACCTTCCTACTTTCACTCTCGTTGCAGGAAATTTGAAATGGAGAAAAGTACACAAAACTCTACCATATATTAATGGAAGAAATTTGAAATGGAGAAAAGTACACAAAACTCTACCATATATTAATGGAAGATTTACGGGATCAACCATTCACTTTCTCACCCCTAGTTCAAGAAATATATGTCCTCCTTTCTTCAAATTTATTACAAACTTACATCCTTTTTATCGTTTTGTTTGAATATGGAAAAAAAAAATATAATATAACACTCAAAGTGTTATTATATCATGCCGACACCCATAGAAGCAACAGGGAAAAAAGGAATTATACACTAACAAATGAATTTAATTTCTATTAATTATATATTTTAAAGATATATTTTATGTTAATTTTTGGCTTCGGATTTCATGAAGCCGCAATCCAGTCGTCGGTGGCAAAATTCCGACAAGTCAACGTATACCGCTATTGTCTCAACGCATAAAAGCAATGGACAAATACATATAAATATTTCTCCAATGCAAACTAGTAACTATCGGCCAAATCCATAAATTCTAGAGGTGGCAATTGGATTGGATTCGTGGATTGGATTGGTGGATCCATGGATCAAATGGATTGGATCCAATGGATTGGTCGATTCATGGATTGGATCAAATGGATTGGTGGATTGATCCATGAATCCAAATGACATCAAAGGCTTGGACCAAAATGTAAAATTTGAAAAGTTTTGGTACTAAAAGGTTTGGGATAGGGTCAGTAACCAATGGTTACTGACCTATCAGTAAATACACGGGAACCGTAGATATGGGGATGGAGCAATCGGGTGGTTGGCTGGACACGGAGGTGGGATGGGCATTTTTGTCCGTTTTTGTATTTTTACTTTTTTTTTATTTATTCCGCATTTCACTGTCTGACTTTTCAATGAAAAAGAAAGAATAAACTTTTCTCTGCAACTCTATTTTCTTCTTTCTCTCTTGCTTCTCTCTTTCTTTTTCCAATCTCTTTCAGATCCTTTCTCTATTTCCTCTCTTACTTTTTCTCTCACAATCTCCTTTTCAAATCTAGATCTGCTCTCTTCCATCTTTATTTTTTTTCTCTAGCAATCTACTAATAAAAATTGAAGTCACCCTCTTTAATTGCGTTTCTTCTCTTCATCAACTCGTTGGCTTTAATTTCGATCTTTCTCATTTTTTGGCATTTGGTGTTCTTTGGTTGCGGATGAAATGAGACGAGACAGAAGACAAGTTTTTTTTTCTCTCCCTCCTTTTGTTTTTCCCCCTTTATTTTAGATAATATATATTGGTATTACCACACTATACCATATGGTATTATGTGGTAACGAAATATATATTGGTATTACCACTCTATACCATATGGTATTACCACACTATATCATATGGTATTGGGTGGCAACGAAATATATATTGATATTACCACACTATACCATATGGTATTGGGTGATAACGAAATATATATTGGTATTACCACTCTATACCATATGGTATTGGATGGTAACGAAATATATATTGATATTACCACACTATACCATATGGTATTGGGTGGTAACGAAATATATATTAGTATTACCACTCTATACCATATGGTATTGGGTGGTAACGAAATATATATTGATATTACCACACTATACCATATGGTATTGGGTGGTAACGAAAGATATATATTGATATTACCACACTATACCATATGGTATTGGGTGGTAACGGTATGATCTTATTTAATACCAGTCAATACCATATGGTATGACTGGTAATAACTGGCAAATTTTTTTATGTCCAAAAAATATCAAAGTGGATATCATTTTGAAGAGCACAATTAATCTGATCTAACTGTGCAAAAAAAATTAAATTCCGACTTAAAACGAGTGAGAAATCATCTGTTAAAGATTAAGAGAATGAAAATTAAAGGTTTTTCGAGGAGAGAGGAGGCGCTGACGTGGTCTGGTCAAATGTCAGGATTGGCAATAAATAGGGGCAATGGCAATTTTATTTTACTGTCCTTTCACATTTAATTTAAATAAAAAAAGGGACTGACACGTGGAGACAAGGGAAGGGGTTACTGATGGGTTATTGACTCATCAGTTACTGACCTGATCTGGTCCCGTACTAAAATGTCATAATAAAAAAATTTAGGTACCAAAATGTAATTTTCCAATGATATTTTCCGTACAAAATATTAATTTTAGGTACCAAAATGTAAAATATAACCAATATAGGTACCAAATTGTAATTTGCCATTTGGATCCATAGATTGATCCATGAATCCACCAATCGAATTGGATTTGGATCAAATGGATTGGATTAGGTGGATAATTTGGTGGATGGATTGGATTGGATTCATGGATTTGGATCCTAATTGCCACCACTAATTAGGGGTGTACATGGGTCGGGTGGTTCGGGTTTAGTCATTTTAATCACCCGACCCATGCACTACGGTTTGGGAAATATCAAACCCAAACCCACCCAAAAAAATTTAAACCCTACGGTTTGTTTCTAATTGGGTTGGGTCGGGTTGGCGATATTTTTAAGTAAAACCCAACCCAACATAAAATATATAATTATTCTGCATCATAAAAATATTTTATAACTAATTAAAATTTCAAACGAATGAACCAAGGTGAAAGGTATGAAAATTCACAAATGTTGTTTAAATTTTAATAAAATGTTATTTACTTCAACATATGTCTTATTTTTTTCACGATATTTGTTGAAATAGGCTGAAAATGTTATAAGCAAACGCATCCATCATAAGTTATTCTATTAAAATTGTACACAAGAAAAAAGATTACGTGAATCATAACTATATTCAATTTATGTCTAAACTTTAAGTCGAAGAATGCATTAGATTAGGGAGACCATGAGAGAAAAAATGGCGAAATATCTTAATTTTCTCATAAGTATATGACTATATACTACATAAATATTTTTTAGATCCGAACTCATACTAATAGTTGGGACACAGGTTGGGTCGGGTTTTAAAGGTTGTGAAATCCAAAATCCAAACCCAACCCAAAAGAGGCGGGTTGTACAAAAGAAAACCCTCACCCAACCCAAAACCTTCGTTTTAGCAATAAATACAGGTGGGTTGGGTCGGGTTGGACGGTTGGGTCGGTTTGCGGGTGTGTTTGTTCACCCCTACCTCTAATGAATCCAATCCAATCCATCCACCAAATTATCCACCTAATCCAATCGGATTGGTGGATTCATGGATCAATCCATGAATCCAAATGACAAATTACGATTTTGTACCTATATTTTTATATTTTACATTTTGGTACCTAAAATTTATATTTTTATACGAAAAATATCATTGGAAATTTACAGTTTGGTACCTAAAATTTTTCATTATGACATTTTAGTACCAAAACTTTTCAAATTTTACATTTTGGTCCAAGCCTTGGATGTCATTTGGATTCATGGATCAATCCACCAATCCATGAATCCACCAATCCATTGGATCCAATCCATTTGATCCATGGATCCACCAATCCAATCCACGAATCCGATCTAATTGCCACCTCTAAATGCATTCCAATTTTCCCCAAATGCATGCTAGTATATGAAGAGAACGATGAATGGTGAATAAATTTCTTGTGCGAGAGCATCATGAGGAAGAATTCAAATATATGAAGAGAATGAGGTTGCTTTTGAGGATGATGAAGATGAAGTGACGAGTGTATAATGGACCTATTTGTACTATGA